TCTTGTATAGCCCTAGGTCACAACAGAAGTCATCTCAGAGGACTTAACAAAACCATTGAACCGGTTAGCCGGACAGGCTAATGATCCAGGACCTAAGCTAGCTACAGGACGTGGACCAGTGGCCGCTGAACGTGGACAGGTCCGGTGCAGGACTGAAGCACTCCCAGGCGGGTCGGGCGGGGCAGTCCGCAGGTGTAGATGGAGGAGGCCAGGCTCAGAGATCCCGTCATCGTACCATGAAACAGACAATGGGACAACGGGTGAATAGCAATGAACAAACTACAGTCAGAATCTTAAAAGTGCTAAACAGATAAAGCAGATAAAGTAGGAAGGAGGAGAGGATAGTGCTCAAGTTACCATACTTCTCCCAGCAAACTGACTCCCTATGCAGCTTGACTGACAGTGTGAGGAGTTTAGCCTTCCCTGAGTCTTACCTTCCTAGCCATATGCTAAACTAAAGAGGACTGTTTTAAACCTAGCCTTGAATAAAGAGATTCATGGATTGCACACCAGGTGTGCAAACCGATCCAAGCAAACCTAATTATATATTATATATCATATACATCATATATACCATACATACCATATATATCATATATAATACACAACATAACATACAGCATAATATATAACAAAATATACAACATAACACAATACATTATTGTATAATATATAACATAATATATAACATAATACAGCATATATATATAATATATACACCATATATTATATATGACCTAATTATATGCTAAATTAAAGTAAAGTGCTTTAAGCCTGGCCTTGAACGTGGAGACCGTATCTGCTTCCTTAACATAAATGAAGCTGATTCCACAGTAAAGGAGCTTGGAGCTAAATGCTCTGCCACCAACAGTGATTTTTGAAACCTTAGGGACCACCAGACGTCTGGCGTTTTGTGAGCGCAACGCTCGACTTGGTTGATACGACACAACGTGTCTTGGAGATAAGAAGGAGCCAAGCCATTTATGGCTTTATATGTTAAGAGAAGGATTTTAAACTTTATTCTGTACTCCACAGGGAGCCAGTGGAGTGATTTTAACACCGGAGTTATGTGCTCCCTCCTTTTGGTACCTGTTAAAGGACAACTCACCCTCAAATCCACTTTTTTTTGCTGATAAACGGTATAAATGAGTGTCCAATAGTGTTGTGTACATATCCTGGTCATAATCTTGTCACTTTGGTGCAAATTAGTTGAAAGTTAAACTTTCTGCCTAAAACCGTCTGTGAGGCGCCATCTGCTGGCGACCTGTATTACTACATTTGAATTTTGAATCTGGCGCCAACACTGGCACAGAAGTTGGACCTGACGTCTGCAAGTTGGACCTGACGTCAGCAGCCCCCCGCCCAGAGCAATATAAACGGCCCAGTCTCGTTCACGCCCCCTTCAGTCCTCCAGGCTACGCCCATTTAGAGGAAGATTTGAACAGGAAATGTGAGTGACGTAAGCTCAGAGGAGCGGGGGTGAGAACCACTTTAAGATCCTAGCTTCTGTATTCTGAACGAGCTGGAAGCTCTTCAAAGACGCTTTAGGGCACGCTGCCAGTAAAGCGTTACAGTAGTCGAGCCTTGAGGTGACAAATGCATGAATGAGTTTTTCCGCGTCACTTTTAGGAAGGAAATTCCTAATTTTAGCGATGTTCCGTAAGTGGAAGTACGCCGTTTTAGTTGCTTGGCTTATATAAGCCTTGAAGGAGAGTTCTTGGTCAAAAATGACTCCAAGATTCCTCACAGTGTTACTGGGTATTATACTGACATTATCAGAGTGATTATCTGGTTAGTGAGGGAGTCACGCAGGCGCTTCGGACCGAGTAGGATCACTTCTGTCTTCTCCGGGTTGAGAAGTAGGAAGTTAAGAGTCATCCACATTTTAAGGTCCTTTATGCAGCACTGAGCTTTTCTAGCTGATGTGTCTGATTTGGCTTCATCGACAGATAAGCTGTGTGTCATCTGCATAGCAGTGGAAATTAATTCCATGCTTTTTAATAATGTTTTCTAATGGCAGCATGTAGAGAGTAAAAAGAATCGGTCCGAGTATCGAACCCTGCGGCACACCGAATTCTACTCCAGAATAAGGTGACGAGTTCTGATTTACGTTGACGAAGTGATACCGATCTGATAAATAGGATTTAAACCAGCCAAGGGCTGTTCCTCTAAGACCTATATCACATTCTAGCCTCTGCAGTAGAATGCTGTGGTCTATTGTGTCAAATGCAGCACTAAGGTCCAGTAGGACCAGCACTGACACTTGCCCATTATCAGCAGCTAGTAGTAAGTCATTTGTGACTTTGACTAGTGCCGTTTCAGTGCTATGATGAGCTCTGAATCCTGATTGAAAGACTTCAAACATATTATTTTCCTGCAGGTGGCAGCGGAGCTGCTCAGCTATAAGTTTTTCCAGGATTTTAGATATAAAAGTGAGGTTTGAGATCGGTCTGTAGTTTGTAAGTATTTCTGGGTCCAGGTTTGTTTTCTTCAGAAGGGGTTTGATTACCGCGGTTTTAAAAGCTTGTGGGACATAGCCACATTGTATGGATGCGTTTATTATATTTACGATAGGCTCAATTATCAAAGGAAGTATGTCTTTGAAGAGCCATGTCGGGACTGCGTCTAACATGCAAGTTGAGGCTTTTGAGGATGTGACCACAGAGATCACCTCTGCTTGGCTCGCAGCCATGAATTTATCGAGGCCCACTGAAGAGTCTAAGTGGGAAGTCACGTATGCCGCTTCAGCCTGTCCACTACCAACAGCAGGAGTAACCTCCTCCAGTTTGTCACGGATGGATGTCATTTTATTATTAAAGAAGTGGAGAAAGTCGACACTGCTCAGTGAGCTTGGAATTTTAGGCTCGATTGCGCTATGGCAGTTTGTGAGTTTAGCGACGGTGCTAAACAAAAATCTACTGTTATTTTTATTCGCTTCTATTAAAGTTGAATAGTATTGAGTTCGAGCCCTGCGAAGGGCATTCTTATAGTTTCGGAGACCTGCTTTCCACTCCCTGTGGACAGGCTCCGAGTGGGAGTGGCGATATAGCCTCTCCAATTTTCTGACGTCCTGTTTTAAAGTGTGGAGTTGAACACTGTACCAGGGCGACGATGATCTAATCCTAATAGTTTTCTGTTTTAAAAGAGCTGCTGCATTTAATGCAGATTTTAAAGACTCCATAGTGTTGCCCACCGTTTGGTCAATGACTGAGGGACTGCAGCTGCTGTGAACAGGTTCACCTGCAGCAGTATTCAACATAGGCTGTATTAGTTCTTTGAACCTTGTGATAGATTTATCATTTAAGGTTCTTTTCATTATGGTTTTATCTTGCGGGACAGGAAAGTCCTCCAAATCGAGATCAAACGTGATCAAGAAATGGTCAGACAGCAACGAGCTTTGACGCTGGATGTCAACATTGGAGACATCACAGCCGTAGGTCAGGACAAGGTCCAAGGTGTGGTTATGAATGTGAGTAGGTTCCTCAACATTCTGAGTAAAACCAACACCATCTAGTACGGCGCTGAAAGCTTTGTTTAAGCTGTCAGTGCTGTCGTCCACATGTATATTGAAGTCTCCAGCTATAACTATGTTTTCCCATTCCAAAACTAGGTTTGAAATGAAGTCAGAGAATTCTGTTAGGAACTCGCTGTAAGGACCAGGAGGTCGGTATAAAACTATAAATAGCACCGCTTTTTGTTTTCTCCACCCAGGACAGGTGATTGAAAGTGTTAAGTTTTCAAACGAGTGAAAAGCGTTGTTGGTTTTGGGACTAAGAACTAAGTTGGTGTGTGATATAATCGCAACACCACCGCCGCGACCTGTAGCTCTGGCTTTCTGGTAGTTAACATGCGTCGGAGGAGTGCACTCATTCAATCTAACGTAGTCGTCCTGTTGGAGCCAAGTCTCCGAGAGCGCAAACAGATCCAAGCCCTTGTCTATAATAAGTTAGTTTATGAGAAGCGATTTAGACGAGATTGATCTGACGTTCATTAAACCACATTTAACAACCCTACCGCTAGAACTATTTCTGTCTGTCTGAACTTTTATTAAGTTACTGTGTCTGACACCCAGGTCAGATTTCCTCATATAGTGTGCTTTAGACTTCAAGCGAGGAACACACACAGTTTCAATCTGACTAGCTTCTGAGGCTAGTAACTGAGCACACACAGGCACACACACACATGCACACACAGTTTCAATCTGACTAGCTTCTGAGGCTAGTAACTGAACAGATGGGGGCTCAGAGGTTGTGGCAGAGCAGCTCTGCACCCGGGCCTCAGTTCTGCATCGTCATTTGAGCCGGGCAGAACAGAGCCAGGGCCAAATTCTTAGCCAAAACGGATGTACCCGCCAACGTTGGGTGGATATCATCCAAGCGGATGAGACCGGGCTTTCCCCAAAAGGCACTCCAATTGTCAACATGAACATAAGAAGCTCTACTTATGTAATTTAGTCACCACTCGTTTACTGCGAAGACATCTGTTCGCCATCTGAATATACTTTTAGAAGGGAACATTACCCCATGTGCTGTTTGGTAGAATTTGGTTTGCTAATGCTAGCTCCAACAAGTTGCCAATGCTAGCTCGAACTAGTTGCATTAGTCTGTACATTAAAACCACAGCAATTCAGGCCACAAAAAGTGAATTAGCAATAACTTGGTTGCTAATAACATGCATATTTACAATATTTGTTCTAAAATGATTGCAAATTAGGGTTACCTGTCTGTTGCATTTGAAAGCAGTTGAAAACAGTTGATTCCAAGATCACTCTTGGGGACCAGGATGTGGGCGGTACTTAATTATATATGCAAAGTGTGTGTGGAAACCAAAGTGTCTTACCAGTCATTACCACCAGAGGTGCCAATGAGCAACCACTACACACACATTAAACATCACTTACAAGCCTTCTCTGAAACTTTGCCCAGCACCTTCTAAACAGCTCCCCCATTCATCTAAATGGTTTTCCTTATGGGGACCTGGTTTTTGGTCCCCCTAAGGAAATGGGTCCCCATGGCGTGACTGTGTTAACAGATTTCAGTCCCCACAACGTGACTCGCTGCTCTGACCATGTGGGCGTCACTCGCTGCTCTGACCATGTGGGCGTCACTCTCTGCTCTGACCATGTGGACGTCACTCGCTGCTCTGACCATGTGGACGTCACTCGCTGCTCTGACCATGTGGACGTCACTCGCTGCTCTGACCATGAGGGCGTCACTCGCTGCTCTGACCATGTGGGCGTCACTCGCTGCTCTGACCATGTGGGCGTCACTCGCTGCTCTGACCATGTGGGCGTCACTCTCTGCTCTGACCATGTGGACGTCACTCGCTGCTCTGACCATGTGGACGTCACTCGCTGCTCTGACCATGTGGACGTCACTCGCTGCTCTGACCATGTGGACGTCACTCTCTGCTCTGACCATGTGGACGTCACTCGCTGCTCTGACCATGTGGACGTCACTCGCTGCTCTGACCATGTGGACGTCACTCGCTGCTCTGACCATGTGGACGTCACTCGCTGCTCTGACCATGTGGACGTCACTCGCTGCTCTGACCATGTGGACGTCACTCGCTGCTCTGACCATGTGGACGTCACTCGCTGCTCTGACCATGTGGACGTCACTCTCGCTCTGACCATGTGGACGTCACTCTCTGCTCTGACCATGTGGACGTCACTCTCTGCTCTGACCATGTGGACGTCACTCGCTGCTCTGACCATGTGGACGTCACTGGCTGCTCTGACCATGTGGACGTCACTGGCTGCTCTGACCATGTGGACGTCACTCTCTGCTCTGACCATGTGGACGTCACTCGCTGCTCTGACCATGTGGACGTCACTCGCTGCTCTGACCATGTGGACGTCACTCTCTGCTCTGACCATGTGGACGTCACTCTCTGCTCTGACCATGTGGACGTCACTCTCTGCTCTGACCATGTGGACGTCACTCTCTGCTCTGACCATGTGGACGTCACTCGCTGCTCTGACCATGTGGACGTCACTCGCTGCTCTGACCATGTGGACGTCACCTCTGCTCTGACCATGTGGACGTCACTCGCTGCTCTGACCATGTGGACGTCACTCTCTGCTCTGACCATGTGGACGTCACTCGCTGCTCTGACCATGTGGACGTCACTCTGCTCTGACCATGTGGACGTCACTCGCTGCTCTGACCATGTGGACGTCACTCGCTGCTCTGACCATGTGGACGTCACTCTGCTCTGACCATGTGGACGTCACTCGCTGCTCTGACCATGTGGACGTCACTCGCTGCTCTGACCATGTGGACGTCACTCGCTGCTCTGACCATGTGGACGTCACTCTGCTCTGACCATGTGGACGTCACTCGCTGCTCTGACCATGTGGACGTCACTCGCTGCTCTGACCATGTGGACGTCACTCTGCTCTGACCATGTGGACGTCACTCGCTGCTCTGACCATGTGGACGTCACTCGCTGCTCTGACCATGTGGACGTCACTCGCTGCTCTGACCATGTGGACGTCACTCGCTGCTCTGACCATGTGGACGTCACTCGCTGCTCTGACCATGTGGACGAGCCGTTGTTTGCTGCTAAAATGCTTTAACCAGCAGAATGGGGAGATTAAAAAAGCAGTCCTCTGTGCTCAAAGGTGCCGAAGCTGTTGCGGGTTTTGGCGCCGCCGTCTCGGCTCTGATCCAGTAGAACTCAGAGCTGCACTTATGGAAAGTACATGGCTCGAAATGACTGTTATTTTAAAGAACGTGGAATATTTTAAACTACGGGGTTAAACCGGTTTCAACCGGTTAATGAGGCTCGGTGGTCGGTCATGAAAATTCATAGTTTTTTACATAAAACAACATTAAAAGACAGAAATAAAACAAATAAAACAGTGAACAAATGTCCCTGTGAAATCGATCGACTAAAACAGTTCAAACAAGTGCAAATCATTAAAGTGCTCTGTTCACACTGATAACAGCCTGTGGATAAAAACTGTTAGCGTAACGAGATGTCCTGCATCTCAGAGAGCGATATCTTCTGCCAGAGGGAAGAAGCTGGAACATGGCTTTCCCAGGGTGGCCAGAAGAGTCATTAACAATCCTAAGAGCTTTGTTTAAAAGTCTGGATTTGTAAAGAACCTCCAGAACAGGAAGCTCACAGCCCACGGTCCTCTTTGCAGAGCGGAGCACCTTGTTTAAAGCTCTCTTTTCTTTATCTGTGATGTTTCCAAACCACACAGACACAGAACCAACAAGTAAACTCTCAATGGTGCAGCCATAAAAGTTAAGCACAATCTTAGAGTTAGTGGTAAATTCTCTAAGTTTACGCAGAAAGTAGAGACGCTGACGAGCTTTCTTAACGACTCGGTCAAAATAAAACATCATTGGGATAAAACATCTGTGTTTTATCCTTCTCTGTGATCCTGGTGAAGTGATATTATTGAAGTACTTGTACTTGTACTGTATCTAACCTGTGTTCTCTGGTGGCTTTGTTTTTGCAGTTTCAAAGTTGAACCCGATCATCAGAGTCCTGATTACTCTACTGATGATCCTCCTGTTCACCCTGCTACTCTGCTACTGCTGTCACAAGGTACCACTGCTACTACTGCTACTGCTGCTACTACTGCTGTTACAAGGTACTACTACTACTACTACTGCTACAAGGTACTTCTGATACTACTACTGTTGTTACAAGGTACTACTACTGCTACTGCTGTTACAAGGTACTACTGCTGCTACAAGGTACTACTACTACTACTACAAGGTACTACTGATACTGCTACTGCTACTACTGCTGTTACAAGGTACTACTGCTGTTACAAGGTACTACTACTACTACTGCTACTGCTGCTACAAGGTACAACTGATACTGCTACTGCTACTACTGCAAGGTACTACTACTACTGCTGCTACAAGGTACTACTGCTACTACTACAAGGTACTACTGATACTACTACTGCTGTTACAAGGTACTACTGCTACTGCTGCTACAAGGTACTACTGCAAGGTACTACTACTACTATAAGGTACTACTACTAGTACAAGGTACTACTGATACTGCTACCGCTACAAGGTACTACTGATACTACTGCTACTGCTGCTGCAAGGTACTACTGCTGTTACAAGGTACTACTGATACTACTGTTTCTGCAAGGTACTACTGCTGTTACAAGGTGCTACTACTGCTACTACTACTACAGCTACTGCTGGTACAAGGTACTACTACTGCTACAAGGTACTACTGATACTGCTACTGCTACTGCTGTTACAAAGTACTACTGATACTACTGCTACTGCTACTACTGCTGTTACAAGGTACTACTGCTGTTACAAGATACTACTGCTGTTACAAGGTACTACTGATACTACTGCTACTGCTGCTACAAGGTACTACTGATACTGCTGCTACAAGGTACTACTGATACTAGTACTGCTGCTACAAGGAAATACTACTGCTACTACTGCTACTGCTGGAGCGACTTGTTCAGACCTGGTCCAGACCTGGTCCAGACCTGTGGATGTCTTGTTGTTTCAGGTTAAGTCCAGAAGAGGCGCTAGTGAAACACATGAGAACATGATCCTGTTGAAGGAAGTCATCACAGAAGAAGAGAGAGGAGGAGAGGGACCAGGAGGAGAGGAGAGAGGAGGAGACGGACCAGAAGTAGAGGAGAGAGGAGGAGAGGGACCAGAAGTAGAGGAGAGGGGAGAGGAGAGAGGAGTAGAGGGACCAGGAGGAGAGGAGAGAGAAGGAGACGGACCAGAAGTAGAGGAGAGAGGAGGAGAGGGACCAGAAGTAGAGGAGAGGGGAGAGGAGAGAGGAGTAGAGGGACCAGGAGGAGAGGAGAGAGAAGGAGAGGGACCAGGAGGAGAGGAGAGAGGAGAGGGACCAGGAGGAGAGGAGAGAGGAGGAGAGGGACCAGGAGGAGAGGAGAGAGGAGGAGACGGACCAGAAGGAGAGGAGAGAAGAGGAGACGGACCAGAAGGAGAGGAGAAAGGAGGAGAGGGACCAGGAGGAGAGGAGAGAAGAGGAGACGGACCAGAAGGAGAGGAGAGAGGAGGAGACGGACCAGAAGGAGAGGAGAAAGGAGGAGAGGGACCAGGAGGAGAGGAGAAAGGAGGAGAGGGACCAGGAGGAGAGGAGAGAGGAGGAGACGGACCAGGAGGAAAGGAGAGAGGAGGAGACGGACCAGGAGAGGAGAGAGGAGGAGACGGACCAGGAGGAGAGGAGAGAGGAGGAGAGGGAGCAGGAGAAATGAGTGAAGTGTAAATATTTCCCATGATGCTCTGAGTGTAAACGCCTCCTTCTGTTCGGGCTCAGAACAAAAAAGCGGTCGATGGAATCTGTCTCATTTATCAAATAAACTTGTATAGCACCGACTGACAACACACACATTCACCGACTGACAGCACACACATTCACCGACTGATAACACACACATTCACCGACTGATAACACACACATTCACCGACTGACAACAGACACATTCACCGACGGATGACACACACAGATGTAAAAACAATATTATCTTTTCTATATTTTGTGTATTTTATGTCTGTACATAATTGTATAAGAAACTGCAGTAAACACAGTATTATCTAATACACTGTATGTAATGAAATACTATTAATACCTAGACCATGGGGGCAGGGGTCTAGGTATTGAATCGTCATTTCTGATCAAAAAAATAATAAAATAATAATAAAAGGAACTCTTTGGATGGATTTTGTTACACAGTTCAATGTGTGTGGTCCTAAAAGTCAGGTACCCGAGCTTTAAACAGCCTCTACAGTTTCCACAGCGACCGAGGGGGCTCTGAACTCATGTTCTGTTTTATACATTCAAGACTTTATTCATTTACTGCATCAAAACACAAAGACACCATGTGACAACTGAACCAAAGGTACCAGAGACAGAACAGATGGAGAAATAAGGCCCGTACATTTCCCGACTCCACAAGTTGGAGGAGGGATCCCATACATTTACCTAACCCTAACCCTAACCCTTTGCTTCAGTCCAGTTGCGTTGATAGTTCTGTCATTGGTACCTTTGCTTCAGTCCAGTTGCGTTGATAGTTCTGTCATTGGTACCTTTGCTTCAGTCCAGTTGCGTTGATAGTTCTGTCACTGGTACCTTTGCTTCAGTCCAGTTGCGTTGATAGTTCTGTCATTGGTACCTTTGCTTCAGTCCAGTTGCGTTGATAGTTCTGTCATTGGTACCTTTGCTTCAGTCCAGTTGCGTTGATAGTTCTGTCATTGGTACCTTTGCTTCAGTCCAGTTGCGTTGATAGTTCTGTCACTGGGCGGTGTGGTTGGAGTTCCAGGTGTAATATAGGTGGTAGGTGGGCTCTCTCCAGTGACTCACTCTCTCTCGCACACTCTAAAAAGTAATGACTTAACCCAACAAGAAAAATTCAGGCAACCCTCTGCATTGGTCTTTTTACGTTGTATCAACTTAAGTGAATATGAGTTCAACTGATTGCTTTTCTTAATTTCAGGCAACTTGATTTTCTAAACTGATTGTTTATTCACTTAAGACACACTCAATATATATGTGCGTTGCTCGACATTTTTGAGTTGCTTGCTTACTTATTTGAGTTGCTTCCACTTAAATTGTTTAACAAGTTTAACTCATTTAAAAATGTTAACAACTTGAATTTCTTTGTTGTAAATACAATATTTTAAGTTGGCTAAACTTAACTTTATCTTTCATTTTAACCTTATTAGTTACATTTTACAACACAATTATCACAAACAAACGTATGATTGACCAGCTGTATTTATTGTGTGCTTCAACATTTTTAGAGAATTAAAGTTGAACGACACATTGCCTAACAACTTACATTTATTAAAAAAAATATAAACACTGTATGACTGGCAAAGGTGCTTAAAACTTAACAAATACCTTGCAAAAATGTCTCCTGTTCCAGGTAAAATCTTTAAAATCTATTTTCATTGTCGGTACAATACAACATTTGAAAAGTAACAATTACAATGGTCTCACACTGTTCAAAACAACTCAACTATTGAACAATTCCTTAAAGAGGCTATATGGAAGTTTCACCACTTATAAAACTATACAGAATTAAAATTTCTTCCACATACATTCTCCAGCAATTCCTTGGTGTGTAGAATGAGCCCTGGCATTTTCATTGCTATTGCCTCTATATGCCTAAAAACATGTCTTTATATGCTTGGAATTTGAGGATTCGGGTCGAAACCATCCAGGGCAGCGTGATGCGTAATGACGTCATGCGCGTTCACGCTAAGCTGTAGCAGCGATAGCTACTTGTGTTATAAGTGCATCTGCAGAGCGAGAGGTGACTGTGGGAGGATGGATACAGCGAAGAATAACAAGAGACCGGCTTCAAGCAGCGCCGAAACTCCAGCAAAGACCCAAACTAAAGCAAAGAAACGGAAAATTATTTCTAGTGTGACCAAAAGGGCGAAACTCGAGTCTGACCGCAGTAGGCAACAAACGAGGGTAAACATTGGAGTTGCTTTTGAGAGATTGAAAACTCTGAGAGAACTTCTGGGCATGGTAATACAAAGTCACTGTCCCCCGAAGGGTACAGTAAAATGCACGGGCCCTCTCCCTGACTCTGGACTAAGCGGATGTTCCTGGGCACTGGCAACCACCATGATGGCCGCCATCTTGTGTCCAGGGGGTTCAAAAAATTGCTCTATAGTAGAGTGTATGTGTAGAAAAATTGTAGGCGCTACGTTTCGACAGCTTCTTGTGTCTTCTTCAGGCGAGTTCTACACTGACTGGAGGCACTCTGTTCGGTGTCCTCTTTTATATGGTGTACAGGCTCCGCCCCCCCACTCTTGTTGAGTGTAAAAAATTGTAATAAATGAACTGATTTAGTCTCTAATTTATGTCTTCCTGTGACTGGTTAAGTTTAGGGCTGTTCCCCTCTATGGTTAAGGTTAGGGCCAGGAGCTAGGCTAGACTTTAGCTCTACTCTACTATGGCCACAATCTTGACAGTAGTCCAAGTGCGCATTTTGGCTGCTTGTTTCCTGCACAACATGAAACCCCCTGCGTCTCCATTGGCTCATTTCAAATTCAAAATGGAGAAACTTAAATCATGTAATTTTTAACTTGAACAAGGTTGTTTTTAACTTAAAAAATAATAAATAATAAAGAAGGATGAACTTTAAGGTTTTTAAATGAACTTTGTTGTACTTAAATATTTTTATAGAAGGTTTTTTGAAGGTTTTTATTTTTTTATTTTTGTTTTTTATATATATTTTTATACTTTTTTTGTGTGCACCATTTGTGCTACAGGTTTAAATTCCTTTTTTCTGTGATTTCTCTTTTCAGAACAAAATAATTTAAATAGCTGCTTCCAGTGTGATAACCCCGTCCTGTACACTTCCTGGTTTGCTCCGGAGGTCCAAGTGGGGGTGAGCTCTGTAAGGAGACCGCCACCTGAAAGGAGTGGTCTCTCCCGGGCCCGTAGAAGGCGAACCAGGGGGGCTAGAGACATGGACCCACGCGACCTGGGACAGAGCTGCAAGCAGTGACAATAGCAGCAGAGAGAGCAGGGCGTGGATGAGAACCTGCGGATACAGGACTAAAAGTCAGTGGTTTAGTGCGTCCTGAGTCCGGACACATTTTAAGTCCAAAGGAATGTACTGAGTGCATGTGGTTAGTTTTACTGTTAGTCTTAGGAGGAGCTCGGAGTAGTGCCGCTGCTCTTCCATGTTGAGAGTGGCTAGCTAAGGTGGTGTGTGTGCATCTGTGCCCACACGGCTGCCTCCAGGACAGGACACTGGATGAAGCAGAAGAACTTACTTCTCGCAGAAGGTGTGCAGACAGGGCAGCACTTTGGGATTGTGGTAATGATCCAAACAGATGCTGCAGACCAGGAACTGTTTATCGATCTGCCGCACCACGGGACTGGAACTGTCCTCTCGCTTGGACATGGAGGACATCTACACAGGCCTCAGGGACACCTGGGGGACAGAGGAGACATGGTCAGGACAGAGGAGACAGAGGAGACAGAGGAGACATGGCCAGGACAGAGGAGACAGAGGAGACATGGTCAGGACAGAGGGGACAGAGGAGACATGGTCAGGACAGAGGAGACAGAGGAGACATGGTCAGGACAGAGGAGACAGAGGAGACAGAGGAGACATGGTCAGGACAGAGGAGACATGGTCAGGACAGAGGAGACAGAGGAGACAGAGGAGACATGGTCAGGACAGAGGAGACAGAGGAGACATGGTCAGGACAGAGGAGACAGAGGAGACATGGTCAGGACAGAGGAGACAGAGGAGACAGAGGAGACATGGTCAGGACTAGGGTTTAATATTTTTCCCGAAAATGAGACGTATCAAATCCCGGGAAAAGACGACGCCTTTCCCGGGAAATCCCGGGAAATAGCTGTTGTTTGTAGTTGTTGTTTTTAGCCCAAGTAATGTATGATATCACTCAAATATATAATCCAACAAAAGCTGCCGTCTCCACTAGTGTTTCACCGAGCGAATTTTCTTCAGGAATTTCACTATTATGAGATTGTAAATGTCTGTAATCCACTTGTCGACCAGTGACGTGTGGTTTGGAGGCACTGACTTCAGCCCAATCAGATGAACATATATCATATAAATCAACAGAACCTACAAAGCGGCTTATTCACAATTAGTTTGGCTACAGCAGAATGTTTTCCATGCCCGCATTGTTTGCTCAAACAAAACGCAAAAGTTCGTAAAAGGCACATTTCCAATTGTGTTATGGGTCTTACCTTAGTTATTAATGAACAGCACAGACCACTTCGGTTCAGACCAGTTTCATGTTTAAGTCCAGATAATAGTTTGAGCGCAGATATGTAATCCCCCATTTGGAAATAAGCCCAAAGAGTTTTAAAGCGTAAAACAAAACGGGTGCCACCTCCATAAACTCCTGTGTTTTCGCTGCAGCCGACTCTCGGGCGCATCCAATTTCTAATATCAACCTTCTTACCCTTCTCCTCTCTTCCTTATCATTCCTATCATCATTGGAAGCAGAACATTACCCTAAATGCATTTTATATGATCTTAAAATGTGTTATATGTATGTTAGCCAAACCTGTTGCTGCCCTTAGCAGATGGAAAAAAAGAAAGGAGCTTTCTGATAGAATTGGACGTAACCAAATTCTGGGCTCACATGCGCCCCGTACCCTGAGGCTGGCCTCATTACAAGTCGTGGTTTAGCGCGATTAAGACCCATATTTGTTTCAAAAACACAATTTATGAGCCATCCTCTCAGCTGTAGACATGTAGACATGGCCAGGACAGAGGAGACAGAGGAGACAGAGGAGACATGGCCAGGACAGAGGAGACAGAGGAGACAGAGGAGACAGAGGAGACAGAGGAGACATGGCCAGGACAGAGGAGACAGAGGAGACATGGCCAGGACAAAGGAGACAGAGGAGACATGGCCAGGACAGAGGAGACAGAGGAGATGGCAAGAACAATGTCCAGGACCAAACATCCAAACTCCATAACTACATCATGGAGAAGGAGGTGAATGAGGAGGTGCTGGAGGAGAGCCACTGTCCAGGACCAAACATCCAAACTCCATAAATACATCATGGAGAAGCAGGTGAATGAGGAGGTGCTGGAGGAGAGCCACTGTCCAGGACCAAACATCCAAACTCCATCACTACCTCATGGAGAAGGAGGTGAATGAGGAGGTGCTGGAGGAGAGCCACTGTCCAGGACCAAACATCCAAACTCCATCACTACCTCATGGAGAAGGAGGTGAATGAGGAGGTGCAGGAGGAGAGCCACTGTCCAGGACCAAACATCCAAACTCCATAACTACATCATGGAGAAGGAGGTGAATGAGGAGGTGCAGGAGGAGAGCCACTGTCCAGGACCAAACATCCAAACTCCATAACTACATCATGGAGAAGGAGGTGAATGAGGAGGTGCAGGAGGAGAGCCACTGTCCAGGACCAAACATCCAAACTCCAGAACTACATCATGGAGAAGGAGGTGAATGAGGAGGTGCTGGAGGAGAGCCACTGTCCAGGACCAAACATCCAAACTCCAGAACTACATCATGGAGAAGGAGGTGAATGAGGAGGTGCTGGAGGAGAGCCACTGTCCAGACCAAACATCCAAACTGAACTACATCATGGAGAAGGAGGTGAATGAGGAGGTGCTGGAGGAGAGCCATGTCCAGGACCAAACATCCAAACTCCATCACTACATCATGGAGAAGGAGGTGAATGAGGAGGTGCTGGAGGAGAGCCACTGTCCAGGACCAAACATCCAAACTCCATCACTACATCATGGAGAAGGAGGTGAATGAGGAGGTGCAGGAGGAGAGCCACTGTCCAGGACCAAACATCCAAATTCCATAACTACATCATGGAGAAGGACGTGAACGAGGAGGTGCAGGAGGAGAGCCACTGTCCAGGACCAAACATCCAAACTCCATAAATACATCATGGAGAAGGAGGTGAATGAGGAGGTGCAGGAGGAGAGCCACTGTCCAGGACCAAACATCCAAACTCCATAAATACATCATGGAGAAGGAGGTGAATGAGGAGGTGCAGGAGGAGAGCCACTGTCCAGGACCAAACATCCAAACTCCATCACTACATCATGGAGAAGGAGGTGAATGAGGAGGTGCTGGAGGAGAGCCACTGTCCAGGACCAAACATCCAAACTCCATAAATACATCATGGAGAAGGAGGTGAATGAGGAGGTGCTGGAGGAGAGCCACTGTCCAGGACCAAACATCCAAACTCCATAAATACATCATGGAGAAGCAGGTGAATGAGGAGGTGCAGGAGGAGAGCCACTGTCCAGGACCAAACATCCAAACTCCATAACTACATCATGGAGAAGGAGGTGAATGAGGAGGTGCTGGAGGAGAGCCACTGTCCAGGACCAAACATCCAAACTCCATAAATACATCATGGAGAAGGAGGTGAATGAGGAGGTGCTGGAGGAGAGCCACTGTCCAGGACCAAACATCCAAACTCCATAAATACATCATGGAGAAGGAGGTGAATGAGGAGGTGCAGGAGGAGAGCCACTGTCCAGGACCAAACATCCAAACTCCATCACTACATCATGGAGAAGGAGGTGAATGAGGAGGTGCTGGAGGAGAGCCACTGTCCAGGACCAAACATCCAAACTCCATAAATACATCATGGAGAAGGAGGTGAATGAGGAGGTGCTGGAGGAGAGCCACTGTCCAGGACCAAACATCCAAACTCCATCACTACATCATGGAGAAGCAGGTGAATGAGGAGGTGCAGGAGGAGAGCCACTGTCCAGGACCAAACATCCAAACTCCATCACTACATCATGGAGAAGGAGGTGAATGAGGAGGTGCTGGAGGAGAGCCACTGTCCAGGACCAAACATCCAAACTCCATAAATACATCATGGAGAAGGAGGTGAATGAGGAGGTGCTGGAGGAGAGCCACTGTCCAGGACCAAACATCCAAACTCCATCACTACATCATGGAGAAGGAGGTGAATGAGGAGGTGCAGGAGGAGAGCCACTGTCCAGGACCAAACATCCAAACTCCATCACTACATCATGGAGAAGGAGGTGAATGAGGAGGTGCAGGAGGAGAGCCACTGTCCAGGACCAAACATCCAAACTCCATCACTACATCATGGAGAAGGAGGTGCTGGAGGAGAGCCCATCATGGGGGACAAGCCCCTACATGAGGAGGTGCTGGTCTCAAGATCAACACCAGAGGAGACCCATGGTACAGATATACCACACCAGGAGACCCATGGTACAGATATACCACACCAGAGGAGACCCATGGTACAGATATACCACACCAGAGGAGACCCATGGTACAGATATACCACACCAGAGGAGACCCATGGTACAGATATACCACACCAGAGGAGACCCATGGTACAGATATACCACACCAGAGGAGACCCATGGTACAGATATACCACACCAGAGGAGACCCATGGTACAGATATACCACACCAGGGGAGACCCATGGTACAAATTTACCACACCAGAGGAGACCCATGGTACAGATATACCACACCAGGAGACCCATGGTACAGATATACCACACCAGGAGACCCATGGTACAGATATACCACACCAGAGGAGACCCATGGTACAGATATACCACACCAGAGGAGACCCATGGTACAGATATACCACACCAGAGGAGACCCATGGTACAGATATACCACACCAGAGGAGACCCATGGTACAGATATACCACACCAGAGGAGACCCATGGTACAGATGTACCACACCAGAGGAGACCCATGGTACAGATATACCACACCAGAGGAGACCCATGGTACAGATGTACCACACCAGAGGAGACCCATGGTACAGATATACCACACCAGAGGAGACCCATGGTACAGATATACCACACCAGAGGAGACCCATGGTACAGATATACCACACCAGAGGAGACCCATGGTACAGATATACCACACCAGAGGAGACCCATGGTACAGATATACCACACCAGAGGAGACCCATGGTACAGATATACCACACCAGAGGAGACCCATGGTACAGATATACCACACCAGAGGAGACCCATGGTACAGATATATCACACCAGAGGAGACCCATGGTACAGATATACCACACCAGAGGAGACCCATGGTACAGATATACCACACCAGAGGAGACCCATGGTACAGATATACCACACCAGAGGAGACCCATGGTACAGATATACCACACCAGAGGAGACCCATGGTACAGATATACCACACCAGAGGAGACCCATGGTACAGATATACCACACCAGAGGAGACCCATGGTACAGATATACCACACCAGAGGAGACCCATGGTACAGATGTACCACACCAGGAGACCCATCGTACAGATGTACCACACCAGAGGAGACCCATGGTACAGATATACCACACCAGAGGAGACCCATGGTACAGATGTACCACACCAGGAGACCCATGGTACAGATGTACCACACCAGGAGACCCATGGTACAGATGTACCACACCAGGAGACCCATGGTACAGATGTACCACACCAGAGGAGACCCATGGTACAGATGTACCACACCAGAGGAGACCCATGGTACAGATATACCACACCAGAGGAGACCCATGGTACAGATGTACCACACCAGAGGAGACCCATGGTACAGATGTACCACACCAGAGGAGACCCATGGTACAGATGTACCACACCAGAGGAGACCCATGGTACAGATGTAACACACCAGAGGAGACCCATGGTACAGATGTACCACACCAGGAGACTACTGCTGTTATTTAGGACGAGACAAGTGTGTGTTTCCTGCTGTGTGGACTCTGAGCAGAAGGCCCTCGCTGACCCCTGACCCCTGAGGCCCTCGCTGACCCCTGACCCCTGAGCGACGTATTTGGCGGATCGTGGCGATGTAATCCTGACCGCAGACACCCCGCTCCTCCTCCCCCTCCTCCTCTTCCTCCTCCTCCCCCTCCTCCTCTTCCTCCTCCTCCCCCTCCTCCCCCTCCCCCTCCTCCTCCCCCTCCCCCTCCCCCTCCTCCTCCCCCTCCCCCTCCTCCTCTTCCTCCTCCCCCTCCCCCTCCCCCTCCTCCCCCTCCCCCTCCCCCCCCTCCTCCCCCTCCCCCTCCTCCCCCTCCTCCTCCCCCTCCTCCTCCTCCTCCTCTTCCTCCTCCTCCCCCCTCTCCCAGGGTTAAGGGTAACCCTAACCCAGGGTTACTGCCGGCTCTGTCAATAAAAGCTCATGTCCACAACATGAGAATAATCCACTGTCTGCCGGTTGACCCGGAGCCGCACTGCACTAGAAACAAATACGTGTCATGACATTATTAATACAGTGTAACATCTTTAGGAACAAAAGCTAAATCAATACACTGCATCTGTCAACACATGCCTGCTGACTGTTGCAGAGGCTGTCTATGCACCACAGAAATCACTGCAATCCCACTGGGTCTTTGTACAGTGAAGAGCTCAGAGAGGAAGGTTGTCCCCATGTGTGTGCCCTGCCCCTGCCCTGCCCTGCCCCTGCCCTGCCCCTGCCCTGCCCCTGCCCTGCTCCTGCTCTGCCCCTGCCCTGCCTCTGCCCCTGCCCTGCCCCTGCCCTGCCCCTGCCCTGCCCTGCCCCTGCCCCTGCCCCTGCCCTGCCCCTGCTCTGCCCCTGCCCTGCCTCTGCCCCTGCCCCTGCTCTGCCCCTGCCCTGCCCCTGCCCTGCCCCTGCTCTGCCCCTGCCCTGCCCCTGCCCTGCCCCTGCTCTGCCCCTGCTCTGCCCTGCCCCTGCTCTGCCCCTGCTCTGCCCCTGCCCCTGCTCTGCCCCTGCTCTGCCCCTGCCCTGCCCTGCCCTGCCCCTGCTCTGCCCCTGCCCTGCCCCTGCTCTGCCCCTGCCCTGCCCTGCTCTGCCCCTGCTCTGCCCCTGCCCTGCCCCTGCTCTGCCCCTGCTCTGCCCCTGCTCTGCCCCTGCCCCTGCTCTGCCCCTGCTCTGCCCCTGCTCTGCCCCTGCTCTGCCCCTGCCCTGCCCCTGCTCTGCCCCTGCTCTGCCCCTGCCCTGCCCCTGCTCTGCCCCTGCTCTGCCCCTGCTCTGCCCCTGCCCTGCCCCTGCTCTGCCCCTGCTCTGCCCCTGCTCTGCCCCTGCTCTGCCCCTGCCCTGCCCTGCTCTGCCCCTGCTCTGCCCCTGCCCTGCCCCTGCCCTGCCCCTGCCCTGCCCCTGCTCTGCCCCTGCCCTGCCCCTGCTCCTGCTCTGCCCCTGCTCTGCCCCTGCCCTGCCCCTGCTCTGCCCCTGCCCTGCCCCTGCTCTGCCCCTGCTCTGCCCCTGCTCTGCCCCTGCTCTGCCCCTGCTCTGCCCCTGCCCTGCCCCTGCTCTGCCCCTGCTCTGCCCCTGCTCTGCCCCTGCCCTGCCCCTGCTCTGCCCCTGCTCTGCCCCTGCTCTGCCCCTGCTCTGCCCCTGCCCTGCCCCTGCTCTGCCCCTGCTCTGCCCCTGCCCTGCCCCTGCTCTGCCCCTGCTCTGCCCCTGCCCTGCCCCTGCCCTGCCCCTGCCCTGCCCCTGCCCTGCCCCTGCTCTGCCCCTGCTCTGCCCTGCTCTGCCCCTGCTCTGCCCCTGCCCTGCCCCTGCCCTGCCCTGCTCTGCCCCTGCTCTGCCCCTGCCCTGCTCTGCCCCTGCCCTGCCCTGCTCTGCCCCTGCTCTGCCCCTGCTCTGCCCCTGCTCCTGCTCTGCCCTGCTCTGCCCCTGCTCTGCCCCTGCTCTGCTCTGCCCCTGCTCTGCCCCTGCTCTGCCCCTGCCCTGCTGCAGTGATGCCCACCTGCTCTGCCCCTGCTCTGCCCCTGCTCTGCCCCTGCTCTGCCCCTGCTCTGCCCTGCTGCCCCTGCTGCCCTGCCCCTGCCCTGCCCCTGCTCTGCCCCTGCTCTGCCCCTGCTCTGCCCCTGCTCTGCCCCTGCCCCTGCCCCTGCTCTGCCCCTGCCTGCCCCCTGCTCTGCTCTGCCCCTGCTCTGCTCTGCCCCTGCTCTGCCCTGCCCTGCTGCTCTGCCCCTGCTCTGCCCTGCTCTGCCCCTCTGCCCCTGCTCTGCCCTGCTCTGCCCCCCTGCTCTCTGCCCTGCCCCTGCCCCTGCTCTGCCCCTGCCCCTGCTCTGCCCTGCCCCTGCTCTGCCCCTGCTCTGCCCCTGCTCTGCCCCTGCCCTGCCCCTGCCCTGCCCCTGCCCTGCCCCTGCCCTGCCCCTGCTCTGCCCCTGCCCTGCCCTGCTCTGCCCCTGCTCTGCCCCTGCCCTGCCCCTGCTCTGCCCCTGCTCTGCCCCTGCCCTGCCCCTGCTCTGCCCCTGCTCTGCCCCTGCTCTGCCCCTGCTCTGCCCCTGCCCTGCCCCTGCCCTGCCCCTGCTCTGCCCCTGCTCTGCCCCTGCCCTGCCCCTGCTCTGCCCCTGCTCTGCCCCTGCTCTGCCCCTGCCCTGCCCCTGCCCTGCCCCTGCCCTGCCCCTGCTCTGCCCCTGCTCTGCCCCTGCCCTGCCCCTGCCCTGCCCCTGCTCTGCCCCTGCTCTGCCCCTGCTCTGCCCCTGCTCTGCCCCTGCCCTGCCCCTGCCCTGCCCCTGCTCTGCCCCTGCTCTGCCCCTGCCCTGCCCCTGCTCTGCCCCTGCTCTGCCCCTGCTCTGCCCCTGCTCTGCCCCTGCTCTGCTCTGCCCCTGCTCTGCCCCTGCTCTGCCCCTGCCCTGCTGCAGTGATGCCCACCTGCTCTGCCCCTGCTCTGCCCCTGCTCTGCCCCTGCTCTGCCCCTGCTCTGCCCCTGCCCTGCCCCTGCTCTGCCCCTGCCCTGCCCCTGCTCTGCCCCTGCCCCTGCTCTGCCCTGCCCCTGCTCTGCCCCTGCTCTGCCCCTGCCCTGCCCCTGCCCTGCCCCTGCTCTGCCCCTGCCCTGCCCCTGCTCTGCCCCTGCCCTGCCCCTGCTCTGCCCCTGCTCTGCCCCTGCCCTGCCCCTGCTCTGCCCCTGCTCTGCCCCTGCCCTGCCCCTGCTCTGCCCCTGCTCTGCCCCTGCTCTGCCCCTGCTCTGCCCCTGCTCTGCCCCTGCCCTGCCCCTGCCCTGCCCCTGCTCTGCCCCTGCTCTGCCCCTGCTCTGCCCCTGCTCTGCTCTGCCCCTGCTCTGCCCCTGCTCTGCCCCTGCCCTGCTGCAGTGATGCCCACCTGCTCTGCCCCTGCTCTGCCCCTGCCCTGCCCCTGCCCTGCCCCTGCTCTGCCCCTGCTCTGCCCCTGCCCTGCCCCTGCCCTGCCCCTGCTCTGCCCCTGCCCTGCCCCTGCCCTGCCCCTGCCCTGCCCCTGCTCTGCCCCTGCTCTGCCCCTGCCCTGCCCCTGCTCTGCCCCTGCTCTGCCCCTGCTCTGCCCCTGCCCTGCCCCTGCCCTGCCCCTGCCCCTGCTCTGCCCCTGCTCTGCCCCTGCTCTGCCCCTGCTCTGCCCCTGCCCTGCCCCTGCTCTGCCCCTGCTCTGCCCCTGCCCTGCCCCTGCTCTGCCCCTGCTCTGCCCCTGCTCTGCCCCTGCCCTGCCCCTGCTCTGCCCCTGCTCTGCCCCTGCTCTGCCCCTGCCCTGCCCCTGCTCTGCCCCTGCTCTGCCCCTGCTCTGCCCCTGCCCTGCCCCTGCCCTGCCCCTGCCCCTGCTCTGCCCCTGCTCTGCCCCTGCTCTGCCCCTGCTCTGCCCCTGCTCTGCCCCTGCTCTGCCCCTGCCCTGCCCCTGCTCTGCCCCTGCTCTGCTGCAGTGATGCCTGCCTCTGCCCACCTGCTCTGCCCCTGCTCTGCTGCAGTGATGCCCACCTGCTAAAGCACACACACCATCTCCAGATAAAATGGAGAATGGAGTTAGCACAACGCATTCACAGCACGGCTCTGATTAAAGAGAAGCATCACAAGCTAACCCCATCACGCCTGAAGACAGAGAAACACGTTGATTTTAGATTCGTTTGAGTGAATGTCCACAGTTCAACAATCATTCACCCAGAACCCAGTGTAGTAGGGACACATACTAAAGCTGGGATTAGAACCCAGTGTAGTAGGGACACATACTAAAGCTGGGATTGGAACCCAGTGTTAGTAGGGACACATACTAAAGCTGGGATTAGAACCCAGTGTAGTAGGGACACATACTAAAGCTGGGATTAGAACCCAGTGTAGTAGGGACACATACTAAAGCTGGGATTAGAACCCAGTGTAGTAGGGACACATACTAAAGCTGGGATTAGAACCCAGTGTAGTAGGGACACATACTAAAGCTGGGATTAGAACCCAGTGTAGTAGGGACACATACTAAAGCTGGGATTAGAACCCAGTGTAGTAGGGACACATACTAAAGCTGGGATTAGAACCCAGTGTAGTAGGGACACATACTAAAGCTGGGATTGGAACCCAGTGTAGTAGGGACACATACTAAAGCTGGGATTAGAACCCAGTGTAGTAGGGACACATACTAAAGCTGGGATTAGAACCCAGTGTAGTAGGGACACATACTAAAGCTGGGATTGGAACCCAGTGTAGTAGGGACACATACTAAAGCTGGGATTAGAACCCAGTGTAGTAGGGACACATACTAAAGCTGGGATTAGAACCCAGTGTAGTAGGGACACATACTAAAGCTGGGATTAGAACCCAGTGTAGTAGGGACACATACTAAAGCTGGGATTAGAACCCAGTGTAGTAGGGACACATACTAAAGCTGGGATTAGAACCCAGTGTAGTAGGGACACATACTAAAGCTGGGATTGGAACCCAGTGTAGTAGGGACACATACTAAAGCTGGGATTGGAACCCAGTGTAGTAGGGACACATACTAAAGCTGGGATTGGTACTTACAGCGAAGGCGTGATTCAAAACAATGGAGATGTCAGCACAGCGGGCTGCAGCGGTGAGAGTGTCCCATTGTGGTGAAGCCAGACACGGGGACGGGAGCAGGAGGTGGCGGAGGCTGTGGGAGACAAGGGCTGGGTGTGTGTCCGCCACAGAGGGGGATGTAAGCGGGGAAGAGAGCCAGGACAGTGCGGTGACACAGGCGCGGATGGGCGGCGTGTGGAGGAGAAAGGACAGGGAAACACAGGGAGGGGCTCTGCGGCGACACGGTCTGCGCTAGAGAGAGCGGTCTGTGGGAGAGAGGGCGCCATGTTGGAGCTGTTTGAGCGGTCTGTGGGAGAGAGGGCGCCATGTTGGAGCTGTATGAACGGTCTGTGGGAGAGAGGGCGCCATGTTGGAGCTGTTTGAGCGGTCTGTGGGAGAGAGGGCGCCATGTTGGAGCTGTATAAACGGTCTGTGGGAGAGAGGGCGCCATGTTGGAGCTGTATAAACGGTCTGTGGGAGAGAGGGCGCCATGTTGGAGCTGTATAAACGGTCTGTGGGAGAGAGGGCGCCATGTTGGAGCTGTTTGAGCGGTCTGTGGGAGAGAGGGCGCCATGTTGGAGCTGTATAAACGGTCTGTGGGAGAGAGGGCGCCATGTTGGAGCTGTTTGAGCGGTCTGTGGGAGAGAGGGCGCCATGTTGGAGCTGTATAAACGGTCTGTGGGAGAGAGGGCGCCATGTTGGAGCTGTATAAACGGTCTGTGGGAGAGAGGGCGCCATGTTGGAGCTGTATAAACGGTCTGTGGGAGAGAGGGCGCCATGTTGGAGCTGTTTGAGCGGTCTGTGGGAGAGAGGGCGCCATGTTGGAGCTGTATAAACGGTCTGTGGGAGAGAGGGCGCCATGTTGGAGCTGTATAAACGGTCTGTGGGAGAGAGGGCGCCATGTTGGAGCTGTATAAACGGTCTGTGGGAGAGAGGGCGCCATGTTGGAGCTGTTTGAGCGGTCTGTGGGAGAGAGGGCGCCATGTTGGAGCTGTATAAACGGTCTGTGGGAGAGAGGGCGCCATGTTGGAGCTGTATAAACGGTCTGTGGGAGAGAGGGCGCCATGTTGGAGCTGTATAAACGGTCTGTGGGAGAGAGGGCGCCATGTTGGAACTGTTTGAGCGGTCTGTGGGAGAGGGGGCGCCATGTTGGAGCTGTACAGACGGTCTGTGGGAGAGAGGGTGCCATGTTGGAGCTGTTTGAGCGGTCTGTGGGAGAGAGGGCGCCATGTTGGAGCTGTATAAACGGTCTGTGGGAGAGAGGGCGCCATGTTGGAGCTGTATAAACGGTCTGTGGGAGAGAGGGCGCCATGTTGGAGCTGTATAAACGGTCTGTGGGAGAGAGGGCGCCATGTTGGAACTGTTTGAGCGGTCTGTGGGAGAGGGGGCGCCATGTTGGAGCTGTACAGACGGTCTGTGGGAGAGAGGGTGCCATGTTGGAGCTGTTTGAGCGGTCTGTGGGAGAGGGGACGCCATGTTGGAGCTGTACTGTGGGAGAGGGGACGCCATGTTGGAGCTGTACTGTGGGAGAGAGGGCGCCATGTTGGAGCTGTATAAACGGTCTGTGGGAGAGAGGGCGCCATGTTTGGTCTCAGTGGAGTTTGGAGTGTGAGTGCTGGAGGTTGTTGACAGGTGTCTTTCAGACTTATAACGAATTCAAACAAGTTTAATACAGGAAACAGACTCTTAAAGAAGGAGCTACAGTCACCTCCCCAGGGAGCCGTCCAGGAGGCAAAACACACCCTGGGGAATACGGTTGAACGCCTTCTCCAAATCCCCAAAGCACATGTGGACAGGTTGGGCGAACTCCCATGAACCCTCGATTATCCAGAGGCTTTAAACTCAGGGCGGATCTCATCCACTCAGGGAGCCTTAAGGAGGCTGCCAACCACCTTGGTGACTTCAGCCAGGGAGATGGAAGTATCAGCCCCAACATTCTCAGAACCTCAAAGTATTCCTTCCACCGCCCCACAAAATCCCCAGTCGAGGTCAGCAGCTCTCCACCCGCACCGTACACAGTGTTGGCAAAGAACTACTTCCCCCCCCCTTTGAGGCCGAAGGTCTTCGAGGTCATGCTCCATGGACTCTCCGAACTTCTCCCAGTCCCGGCTTTACATTTACAAATGCATTCCTTAAGAATCAGATTTTCAAAAAAAAAAATCTCATTCTATCTCATAGTTGAGGTTTATCTATGATGGAAATTACAGGGCTTCCTCATCTTTTTAAGTGGGAGAACTTGCACAATTGGGGGCTGACTAAATACCTTTTTGCCCAAAGGACCAGTTCAATTACTAACGCAAAATAATACAAAATAACAACAGAGCAATTACATATGAAACAATAAGTTTATCATTTATAATACAAAAATAAATTAAAACAAATATGCTTAAACAAGGCGACAGTAGCTCAGTTGGTAGAGCATTGGCCTTAAGGCCAGAAGGTCATGGGTTCAATTCCCACCTCTGCACCTTCTCCACCGACTCCCACTGATGACTGCTGTCGTTGTGTCCTTGGGCAAGACACTTAACCCCACTTTGCCCAAAGCCCCCACTGAAAGATCAAGGCTATGCTCACACTCAGAGAGCAGCCGTCCTCCTGTGGACTCACCACCTGCAGAGGGTCAGTGAGGGGCTGGTGCTATGAGACTTGGGTGGCATCTCTGACTGCCACCCCCCTGACCCAGAAATGGATTAAAGGGTAGAAAATGGATGGATGGATGGATGCTTAAACAACCTTTTCATCAAGGAACACACCAAACACACTTCAGAAGGCTCCAGGTCAAGTGGCAGAGTTTTACATGTTTCAATCTCATGGATTCATCTCTGGATTATTGAAACAGTAATAGTGCATTTGAGGACAGGATTTTTGTGACTATAAATTGCCAAAACTGATGAAAAATAAGTCAGAAATGTATTTTAATTTGAGAAAAATGATCTCTCTTGGAGTGAGAAAATAAGCAACAGACTAAATATCTTTGTCTCATCGGAAAATCTCGGTTTAACACAGACATAAAAACACTGGATTCAAGCATTTATTGCCTCATACTTTTGCAGTGGATAATCTACTTTTACAAATAGTAGTAGAAGTAAAAATAGTGGTTTTGTGTGGGTCTAAAAGTCTACACGCTGGAGTCGCTGCTCGTCGGCTCTTTGCTCGTCGTCCCTTTGCTCGTCGGTAACTGAAACCTTTTAAAAAAGTTGAACAAAAGTCCTGTGGGTTCTGTTTTTGTGTTTTTCGGAGGACTATTGTCGCTCTTGTCTGCAGCACTAAGGGTTCCGTGTTGCAGAGTTTTCCCAGACACTGTTAAAGGGGTTGTTGTGTCTCCATCTGTTCTCTCTGCGTTGGATCCGCTCTCATGAGTTTTGGGCACTTTGGACGGCAGCGTGTAGCGTCTGCCGAGGTTCCGCTTTGTGGGCGAAGGCGGGCTGGCGAACAGCGTCTCCAAGTCTCCGTCCTGAGGTTGGTCCATGTTCCCTCCCAGGTCCTCGTCGATGGTTCGCTGCCGCTGAATCCTGGGACCCTTCTCCACACTTTCCAGGGATGACACGCTTCCCCGGCTGTTCTGGAACTTTAAAACTTTTCTGGAAGCTTCGCGCAGCGTCTGCGCTTCTTCCACCGTGTTGTCCTGGAATGTTTCTACGTGTGATGGCGGTGACGCCGATGGAAGGGTCCTGTCTAAAGAGTTTGGTGTTAAGTGTTTGATAGTCTCAGGTTTTGAGGCGTCTAAAGTTCTTGGCTGATGTCTTTGAGCGTTGGTAAGATCAGCAGCTGAGTTCCACTCCTTCTTGCTCATATCCTTAAGCTTTAGGCGCGGGCTTCGATTGGGAGTCGCACTGGGAATGTTGCATTGGGAGACCTCAAGCAGACTGCCGGTTAAGGGGCTGCCGGTTAAGGGGCTGCCGGTTAAGGGGCTGCCGGTTAAGGGACTGCCGGTTAAGGGGCTGCCGTTGGGCGGCGTGCCGTGACTGGAGAATGGTCGTCCTGCTTTCCTCCTGACGCTCCTCTTGCTGATGAAGCTCTGAAGCACAGACTCCAGGGAGACGTTGTCCATGTCTTTGTCCCGAGTCGAGCAGGAGGCGATGGAGCGCCGCTTCAGGGCCGTCTGCAGCCGTTCAGCGTGCCGTCGCTTCACCTCGCTCGCCTCGCGCCCTTGGTTCTCCTGTTTGGAAACAGGGTGAGACTCAGAACTCCATTTTAACATGACGGCAACCCACAGATACAGAACCGAGGCCGCCTTAAAAACTACATTTTTATATTATATTATTTCCTGCGTTTGTCCAAAGTCAAAATGTCAGGATCCACAGATGGAATTTCTTCAAAGCTGTTTTCTTCAATGGTCTTTGAATTTCAAAGATATCAAACAAACATGAAATGATGTCTGTTAAAGACTGTTTGCTTCTTATTTATGTTACTTTTTATTCTATTTTATTCTAGTACAGAGGTATTGTTCCTTATCTTGTGCTGCTCCTCATTCTACTGTTCTGTGACGATGCAACACTGGCATTTCCCTGTGGGACCAACACAGGATCTTCATCTCTTAAAGTAAACTTTGGTTCATCCATTTTAAAGGGTTCAAGAAACAATGTTACATTCTAAAACATGAAAGGAAAGTAAATATCTGGAGATTTATCCTGATGGAGGTCTCTCTCCTGGATGATGAAGATCTCTCTCCCGTATGATGGGGGTTTCTCACCTGGATGATGAAGGTCTCTCTCCTGTATGATGAAGGTCTCTCTCCTGTATGATGGGGGTTTCTCACCTGGATGATGAAGGTCTCTCTCCTGTATGATGAAGGTCTCTCTCCTGTATGATGGGGGTTTCTCACCTGGATGATGAAGGTCTCTCTCCTGTATGATGAAGATCTCTCTCCTGTATGATGGGGGTTTCTCACCAGGATGATGAAGGTCTCTCTCCTGTATGATGAAGGTCTCTCTCCTGTATGATGGGGGTTTCTCACCTGGATGGCCCTGATGAACCTCTGGCAGAAGCAGTGGAAGATGGAGCAGCATTCTTCCAGTTTAAACGATCTTGGATCTTCACAGAAATATTGAGCCACAGAGTCTGAGACCGAGGAGAGAGTCTGTAGGTCTGTGTCCATGACCTGAACACTCAGCTCCGAGATGAGCTGTGGTGCGAGATGAAAGTGTGATGAGCTGTGGTGCGAGATGAAAGTTACTGAAGACCCACTATCACCATTAAGGCCCAAGGTCCACCTTTTCAGACCCATTCTCCCATTACAGTCCAACATGCTCATGTTGGGCCCTGCTACATAGAACTTTGTCAATCATAAGTATAATAAAAGGTAATATTTAGTAAAAAATGAATATGTAAAATTAATGTTAGACTGCACACGTTTTCTTCCCACAGGAAATACTTGGGCTTTTAAACTAAATCAAATACTCAATGTAGGAGCCACATATTAGCTTTTCGTGTTTATTAGTATCTGCACGGCTCATGCACTATCCTAGTTTGTCCACTGGGTGGCAGTATAGAGTGGTGTCTCAATTAGGCTGCACCTGTGTTGGGATAAAGAGGGGCACGTGCACACCTGTGGGAAAGCCAGTGGAAGGGTGAGCACGGGCTGATTCTTTCTGTTGATCGTAAGCAACAAATCATTCCTCGTCATCATCATTCGGAAGGGCAATGGAGTCTACTCTATAGAACATCAAGTAAGTCCCTATCTCGTGCAAATTAATCTACGCGTCAGCAACATAGCCCGTGTCTTAGCCTGCCGCGGCGTATTGCCTACAGTTTGGACCTTTTACGCCGCATTACCCAACATTTTCTGATCAAGCGTAGAATGTACCTGTACTTAATTTATATAGTATATAGTTATACAGGGTTTTCTATGAAAGGGTCCTACATGGCAAAGCTGGGTCTTCATACTTTCATAAACTGTTATAGAGGTTTCTGCAGAAAGGAAATTATTAAGCTATTACACTGACAGAAAACAGGAGCAACAGAATAAAACAGTGCATTATGGGATGGTGGGTGTGTGTGTGTGTGTGTTAGGTGGGGTAGGAGAGTCTGAACAGATGGATTTTGAGTCTGGATTTGAAGAGTGAAAGAGAGTCAATGGTACGGAGGTCAGGGGGGAGAGAGTTCCAGAGCTGGGGGGCAGGAGTGGCAGGGTGGAGGAGGTCCGAAAAGTACGGAGGGGCCAGGTCTTGGAGTGCTTTGAAAAGTGGTGAGGAGTATTTTGAAGTTGATCCGTTGTTTAACAGGAAGCCAGTGGAGTTGTTGTAGTACGTGGGTAAGTAAGTAATGTTTAACCCAACATGTTTTCATGTGTGATAGTACCTGAGGTTTCTCACGTAGAAATACCATGATGACACGAATCACAATAACCAGAAGCACTATTATGGTCACCAATTGGATGGCCACTGATATCCAATTGGCAGTGGATAAATCCTGTACAAAAATAGTAATTAGTAGAAATAATAACAATGAACATTTTGTCAATCACAAGTATAATAAAAGGTAATATTTAGTAAAAAATGAAGATGTAAAATGAATGTTAGACTGCACACGTTTTCTTCCCACAGGAAATACCTGGGCTTTTAAACTAAATCAAACTCACAACATTTTCTGAACACTCGTAGAATGTACCTGTGCTTAGTTTTTCAAGAACTATACAGGGTTTTCTATGGAAGGGTCCTACATGGCAAAGCTGGGTCTTCATACTTTCATAAACTGTAATAGAGGTTTCTGCAGTGGCAGAAACCTGGCACGGTGTCTGAGTTAATAGCACTCTCGCTTTTCTGGGTTCGGATCCTGATCGGAACAGGGCCTTTCTGAGTGGAGTTTGCATGTTCTCTTTGTGTCTGTGTAATTCTCTTCCGGGTTCTCCGGTCCTAATGAAATGTTTTTTTGTTTTGTTTTTTAATGTATTTTCTTTCATCTCTGAAGCTCGAACTCAGTGTGGTCTTGCTACATCTTGTACTTGATTTTGCTTTTGTGAATAGGGATAGGCGTAAAAAGTGTAGAACTTCAGCCTAAACCCTTTCGGTCTGTGAAATTTTGTACTAATTTATTTATTTGAATATAAACTAGTCATTGGTATAAAATACTCTTCTGCAGAGGTACGACCAGCGGTTTAGGCCTTTGTGGCAAAGGCCGAGGCCTCCGCGGTCTCATCCGCGTGTTGCCTGTGACAGGCTTATGTTTTTGATCGTGCCAAACCCCAGTGAAAACATGCTCTTTGCGCACGTTTGCAACCGGCGGTCTTGCGGGTCAGGGTGACGGGGACAGCCGCTGTCGAGGCTGTAGATTCTATGGAGGAGCAGCGGATCGTCATGTTCTGGCCGCACATCTCCGGTCCGTGCGGGGCTGCATGCGCATCCCTGGCACCCTGACCCGCTGCGTCTCTCTTGCTCCTCGTCAGTCCATTTTACTCTCTTCACCAGGGTAGTGAAAACTAAACCCAATATAATGTCGTAAAGATAACGGTTAATACAAGGAAAAAAATGGTTTACATTTATTGAATGTCCAACATCCGCTTATTAAACCCTTGTTATCGAAAAAACTAATACGCTTGCTCTCTCGGAAAATCTCTCTTCTTTTGAGTCTTAACTATAGTTCTTAATGACTTCTAGTTTCACTTTATCCTTTTAAACATTGCAACAATTTATTTCAGCAATGACATGTCATACCTCCGCCATAGATTGCAGATCTGTCTAATCCCACGTGCTCCTGTTGAAAAATTTTGCGTAATGCAGTTCTCGCGAGATCTGTTGAGGGCCAATTTATCACGTGGACACGCCCACCTGTCTTTGCATGTGGACGTGAGAAGAGGAGCAATGGCGACTTTAGAAGGCACTCAGGTATGAATTTAAATCCATTTTAAATCAGTCTGTTTCTAAAAAAAAAAAAGCTATGGGTATAACCTCGACATATGTAATCTTAAAATTAAAATCAATTTACCTTTTTTCCAAAAGTCAATATAGTAGTTCTGTGTCTGTGTGTAGAGTAGTCAAATACACTTTTCCATGGAAGGTTAATGGAATAAAAGACCCACCTTCTTCATATAAGACCCTTCTGTGAATCGATGAACCCTTTATGGATTATTTCAAACCATTTCACACCTACTTTTAGGACATGTCATACTGTGTTCTACTGAAACGTTTTGGTTTCATCTCATTCCGACCAATAGGAAGCCAAATACCTAATCGTTGGTCTCCAAATGTGAGAATCTTATTTGAGAGAGAAAGCGCAGAGACCAGACAGTGGCCAGAGAGGGACTGACCAGAGAGAGAGCAATTAATAGTAATTCCGAATTACCTTTTTTTTAACAACTTGTATGTGTCCCCATCAGATGAAAATGTCATCTAAGGACTTGAGACTGGTGAGACTCAATTATTTACATTTGATGTTTATTCAGATTCAGATAAAGTCTGTCTTTATCTCTGTCCAGGTCAAATCAAAGGTTAAGTTGCAGTCAATTCTAAAACTTGCAGGTGCGACTAAAGATGCACTTACCCTGGACGAGGTACAGTTTGTCATGTTATGTATGTCTGCCTCATACTACTGCAATACTTTGTTTAGGCTAATTGTTTGTTTATTTTCCAACAGGTGATGTTTTATCTGGGACAATATATAATAAAGAAACAGCTGTATGACCCAAATGAGCAGCACATTGTCATCTGTGGACAGGACTCACTGGGGGAAGTTCTGGGTTTGGACACTTTCTCCCTTAAGGAACCTATGTAAAAACCAGTTTTTACTGATGTAACATACATTGTTCATTTGAAACTGGTTTCATCAATTCTGCCCTGTTTCTTTTTTCAGTGCCTTGTTTTCCGCGCTTAGAAACAACCTGGTTGATGTAAAGAACCTAGGTATTATTAGAGAATTACAATTACTGCATATCAAAATACTCTTGTTATTTATCTTGTGTTATATTACCAAATACTTAAACACATGTATTTTGTGTTTAACTTTCAGGTCCTTCTCAAAGCACAGAGGCTGCAGATTTGGTGGGCAACTCTGAGGAGGACGAGCCAAAGCCGAGATCAGACTCTTTTGATGAGAGTCTATCAGAGGGTGCGATTGGTGGGTTAGGAGGAGGGCAGGACGGACACAGTAGCCGCTCATCAGAAAATATTGGCACTGTGAGTTTCTTTACATTCAAATCATATGTGTGCTTTAGTCTAGGATTTCAGACCAATATTTACACTATATGCATTTCATTTTAGTCCGAAAGATCGGAGTCTGATTCAGATCCAGAATCAGACCCAGACACGGATAACTTCAGTGTGGAATTTGAGGTTGAGTCCATTAACGCGAATGATGAAGACGATGGATCTGTGTCTGGAGATGATCAGGTCACTGATATTAGTATGAATGTGGAAATGATCCAAATGAGAAACTCTTTTCATTTAATATTTTATTGTACTCGCAGCTGTCTTCATCCGTCTCTCAAGACACTCTTCCCTCCGTCTCTCAAGCAACGGTGTCTGAAGCCGATGCTGTGCCAGACCTGGAGCGGCAGGAGTCCGGCAGCCTGCTGGCCGAGTCTCAGCTGCCGCACTCCTTCCTGGACCCATGTTTCGTCTGCCAGGAGCGGCCTAAGAACGGCTGCATAGTGCACAATGGAACGGGACACATCATGACATGCTATGAATGTGCTCTCAAACTCAAAAAGGCAAACCAGTGGTGTCCAGTGTGCAGGATGCATATCAAAACTGTCATACAGATTTATGTCAGCTAAAAAGCTAAAGAGAAAATAAACAACTTTATTAGTATTTATGGTTTCTTCATCTTATTTTGTTTGTTGAATACTTTCAGCCAAGTCTCTTGCCCCCCCCCCCACCCACTCGGCATTATATATTTTCTTTTTCCACCCTGCCTCCTGTTTCTGCTTTGTGATCCAAAACCATAGCCTAACACTCATAATGCATTTCATTTAGACTCACTTCAAATAGCCCAACATAAGAGTACATGATTGTTAGAGGACCCAACTTCACCTATGAAGGTCCTTTCATAATGAGACCTGATCACATGTCGGTGGCACCAGAACTTTCATAGGTAGGTACCATGCCAATATTACAGTTTTAATGTAATAAAAGACCCACCTTCTTCATAAAAGACCCTTCTGTGATTCGATTAAACCTTTATGGATGATTTCATTTAACTTTTAGGACATGTCAAAAGTCATACTGTGTACAAGACGGAACTTCTCCGTACGAGACCCAACACCTGTCACTTTCAAAGCGAGATGATAATGTGATGAGCTGTGGTGGGCTCGGGCATATGTTCAGGATGTCTCCTGGACGCCTCCCTGGGGAGGTCTTCTGGGGACGTCCCACCGGGAAGAGACCCTGGGGAAGACCCAGGACACGCTGGAGAGACTGTCTCTCAGCTAGCCTGGGAACGCCTTGGGGTCCCCCCGGATGAGCTGGAGGAAGTGTGTGTGTGTGTGTGTGGATAGGGAAGTCTGGGCATCTCTGCTTAGACTGCTGCCTGCTGCCCCCAAGACCCGGCAACGGATGAAGAGGATGGATGGATGGATGGATGGATGGATGGATGGATGGATAATAAAAGGTATTATTTAGTAAAAAATGAATATGTAAAATTAATGTTAGACTGCACATGTTTTCTTCCCACAGGAAACACCTGTGTTGGGCTTAAGAGGGGCATGTGCACACCTGTGGGAAGGCAGGGTGAGCACGGGCTGACCGTAAGCAACAAATCATTCCTCATCATCATCATTCGGAAGGGCAATGGAGTCTACTCTACAGAACATCAAGTAAGTCCCTATCTCGTCACCCTAACCCAACATAGCCCGTGTCTTAGCCTGCCGCGGCGTATTGCCTACAGTTTGGACCTTTTACGCCGCATTACACAATATTATCTGAACAAGCGTAGAATGTACCTGTGCTTAGATTTTCAAGAACTATATAGTTATACAGGGTTTTCTATGGAAGGGTCCTACACGGCAAAGCTGGGTCTTCATACTTTCATAAACTGTAATAGAGGTTTCTGCAGTGGCAGAAACCTGGCACGGTGTCTGAGTTAATAGCACTCTCGCTCTTCTGGGTTCTGATCCTGATCGGAACAGGGCCTTTCTGAGTGGAGTTTGCATGTTCTCTTTGTGTCTGTGTAATTTTCCTCCGGGTTCTCCTGTCCTAATGAAATGTTTTTTTGTTTTGTTTTTTAACGTATTTTCTTTCATCTCTGAAGCTCAAACTTAGTGTGGTCTTGCTACATCTTGTACTTGATTTTGCTTTTGTGAATAGGGATAGGCGTAAAAAGTGTAGAACTTCAGCCTAAACCCTTTCGGTGTGTGAAATGTCTTTTTTTTTTACTTTATTTTGTTCTAATTTATTTATTTGAATATAAACTAGTCATTGGTATAAAATACTCTTCTGCAGAGGTACGACCGGCGGTTTAGGCCTTTGTGGCAAAGGCCGAGGCCTCCGCGGTCTCATCCGCGTGTATCAGGGAATCAGCTGAGCATCACAGCGAGACGTCACGGAGATTCAGAGTATATACCTCACACTCGTCTCATTATATATAAATACATATAAAAGAGGACGTAAGGAAATGACCAGTCATCGTAGGGCCCTGCCACTTAGAGGCCTTAGGCAATTGCTTACCCCGTTGGACGTCTCTACAGACGCTGTCATGACGGATGTGTGGACATATAAGCAGCATTTTTATTTCTTTCGAGGTTTCACTTTTCAATGTTGCCTGTGACAGGCTTATGTTTTTGATCGTGCCAAACCCCATGAAAACATGCTCTTTGCGCACGTTTGCAACCGGCGGTCTTGCGGGTCAGGGTGACGGGGACAGCCGCTGTCGAGGCTGTAGATTCTATGGAGGAGCAGCGGATCATCATGTTCTGGCCGCACAGCTCCGGTCCGTGCGGGGCTGCATGCGCATCCCTGGCACCCTGACCCGCTGCGTCTCTTTTGCTCCTCGTCAGTCCATTTTACTCTCTTCACCAGGGTAGTGAGAACTAAACCCAATATAATGTCGTAAAGATAACGGTTAATACAAGGAAAAATGAAATGGTTTACATTTATTGAATGTCCAACATCCGCTTACGCTTGCTCTTGGAAAATCTTTTTTTTTATTTTAACGAGTTCTTAATGACTTTCACTTTATCCTTTTAAACAGTGAAACAATTGGATTCAACAATTAAAGCGTTAATAGATAATGTCATACCTGTGCCATAGATTGCAGATCTGTCTCATCCGACGTGATTCCCGTTGCAAAATCTCGCGTAATTGCGGTTTTCGCGAGATCTGTTGAGGGCCAATTTAGCGCGCAGACACACCCTCTCGTCTTTGCACGTGGAGGAGAGAAAAGCAATGGCGACTTCAGAAGGCACTCAGGTATGACTTAATCAATTTTAAATCGGTCTGTTTCTAAAAAAATAAAAATAAAATGATATAACCTCGACATAGGTAATCTTAAAATTAAAATTAAAATCAATTCACCTTTTTTCCAATAAAGTCAATATAGTAATTTTTGTAATGTTATATAGGTCTATGTGTAGAGTAGTCAAATACACTTTTCTATGATGGGGTCCTACATGGGAAAGCTGGGTCTTCATAATTTCATGTACTGTAAAATAGGTCTGTGTCGAATACACTTTTCCATGGAAGGTCTTACATTGGAAAGCTGGGTCTTCATACTTTCATGTACTGTAATATAGGTCTTTGTGTCAAATACACTTTTCTATGATGGGGTCCTACATGGGAAAGCTGGGTCTTCATAATTTCATGTACTGTAATATAGGTCTTTGTGTCAAATACACTTTTCTATGATGGGGTCCTACATGGGAAAGCTGGGTCTTCATAATTTCATGTACTGTAAAATAGGTCTGTGTGTCAAATACACTTTTCCATGGAAGGGTCCTACATTGGAAAGCTGGATCTTCATACTTTCATGTACTGTAATAGATGTTTCTGCAGGAGGACTTTTTGAGCTGTGTTTCTACTGTAACTGTATTTTGTACTAACCATTATTCATTTTTATATATACTAGAGTTTATATTTTTTGTTCACTTTTCACAGATGCAAGCGAGATACGAGCCCAAAGGGCACGAATGCCCCATATGTAGGGTGCATTACAGTGATGTGAGGCAGCACCTGCGCCACACAGAGCTGGTCAGAAACGACAAGGAGTTGGAGCTTCTGACAAAGCTATCTCATGGACAGTAAGTGTTTTGGAAATGTCTTTTACAAATGCTATGGAACAAATCTACACTAGACATAGAACCTGGAGATTAGGAATAGATTTGATAGGCCATCATTAGATGCCTGAATCTAATTTGTCTGGATAACGTGTGTTTTTCTCATGTCTAAGTTTCAAGGAGAAATTAACATGCCCTGTAGAGGAATGTCAGTCAAAGGGCATACAAAGGCTGGACAAGCACTTACTACGCGTTCACAAGTTGGAGGTAAGTACTCGATAAAGGGCTCGATAAATAAAGGTTGATTGATAAAACATAACTAGAAATGTGTTTATTTGTAGATCCCATCGGTTAAAAATTATGTGAGCATAGCAAAGCGCAGGTACATTGTGGGGGAACTGGCCATCCTCCAGGCCACCAACCCCCAACCAGCCATGGTCTCCCACCTGTCCGAAGTGACCACCGGCGTTATCGAAGAGGCGATGCGTCGCGAAAGGCTTCAGAGAAGTCCGTTGATCTTCATGAAATTGTTTTTTACTGTCCTATACTATTCCCTGCTTTATGTTTAAAAGAATTGTTCATGGATGTTTACTCAAGTATCTGTCAATAATGCTAAGTAGATATATTTATGAATACACCTTGGAATGAAGAGATTCTTCTGATTATTAAGATGTCTGGCGTGGAGAATCCGGCCTTTTTGTTGTCTGGCGCTGTTTCCGGACATCACTAAATTGATATGATTTGTTACCAGGTCAAGGCCAGGAGGAGATGCCAGCCCTAAGCCCTGCTGGAGACCGTAAGTAACACATGGCGCCAGCGTAGCCTCCTCAGATGTGTGGCCTGGAGAATCTGGCCTTTTTGTTGTCTGGCGCTGTTTCCGGACATCACTAAATTGATTTTGTTTCCAGGTCAAGGCCAGGAGGAGATGCCAGCCCTAAGCCCTGCTGGAGACCGTAAGTAACACATGGCGCCAGCGTAGCCTCCTCAGATGTGTGGCCTGGAGAATCTGGCCTTTTTGTTGTCTGGCGCTGTTTCCGGACATCACTAAATTGATTTTGTTTCCAGGTCAAGGCCAGGAGGAGATGCCAGCCCTAAGCCCTGCTGGAGACCGTAAGTAACACATGGCGCCAGCGTAGCCTCCTCAGATGTGTGGCCTGGAGAATCTGGCCTTTTTGTTGTCTGGCGCTGTTTCCGGACATCACTAAATTGATTTTGTTTCCAGGTCAAGGCCAGGAGGAGATGCCAGCCCTAAGCCCTGCTGGAGACCGTAAGTAACACATTGGCGCCAGCGTAGCCTCCTCAGATGTGTGGCCTTGAGAATCCGGCCTTTTTGTTGTCTGGCGCTGTTTCTGGACAGCACTAAATTGATATATGATTTGTTACCAGGTCAAGGCCAGGAGGAGATGCCAGCCCTAAGCCCTGCTGGAGACCGTAAGTAACACATGGCGTCAGTGTAGCCTCCTGTCTGTCACATCTGGGAGGTGGTACTTATTATACATTTTATTTGTAATTGCCTTTTCGTTTGACAACAAATAAAGATAAGTCACACACGGGGCCAGAGGGACTGTACTGTATTTGTTTCCAGGTGAGACAGCCGCAGCTGCCACCCTCCCTTCCAGTCGTGCACCATGTGCACAATGCCAGAGGCTAAAGGAGGAACTGGCCATCACCAAGAAGTTTTTGGCTTGCCAAATTGAGGAGAACAAGAATTTAAAAAAAATGTGTAGTGCAGAAATCCAAAAAGAGGTGAGGATGAATATTGTCCCATCAGGTCATTTAATGTTTTTGCAAGTTTCACCGGCAAGAACCATGTTACAACGAATAGTAGATTATGAATGTAGAATCTGAGGGAATGATTCGACGCTGGGTGTGGGTGTCACCTCGGTCGGGTACCCAGCAGAGTACCCCTAACCTCTGGATTAAAGGAGTAAAGAGGGAGGATAGAGTTGAGGGAGTGTAGAGGATGGGGTGGTCAAGAAGAGATGTAGTTTTGATGAGTTGAATGAACTTCCTGGTTAGCTCGGATGCTAAAGAAAAGTGGGAGTCGAGTTGAAAGGTGAAACTATATATAGTAAAGTTATTCATTTAGATATCTTCCCTTTCCCAGGCTGTCAAATACAAGAGAAGGGTAGTGTGCTCTCCCTCAAAAGCCCCTGCCTATGGTACATATCACATTCTCATTTAAATAACAGTTGCTCAAGTAGTTCTAGTAATTTTTCAACTTTTGTTTGTTTTCTTTTCAGCTCGACTCACAAACGCTTACCGGGGCTTTATTGATGGAAGCAATCCCTCTAGGAAGCACAAAGAGAATTCTAAGCAAAGATCAAGCCACATCAATTCTTTCCTGGAGTTCATGGCCTTCCCAAATGTCCCCCAAATTAGTCTTAAATTTTTAACAAATTTTGCCAGAATCAGAGAGTAAGTTTACAATCAAGTCATTGTATAGTAATTACACTATATAGAACATACCTTAATATTTTTGGTCCTTTAAAGGTTCCTCGGGGACCTCCAAGAAAGAAGATATGCCCCGACATCACAGAAAATCTATCTTCAGGACGTGATGGGCTTTATCAAGTATATAATTGACACCAGACCACCAGGAGTAAAATTGTCACTGAACCAGTTGAACGCAATAAAAGTGGAACTCACAGCCCGGCTGAGGGACGTGGGGAGGGAGGTGGTCCCACATGTTATGCGGGTCAGGCGCCGGAAATCAGGTAAGAGTCCCACCTTCTGGAAAGACCTCACATAGAACTCTTTATCTTTCTATTTTAGTTCCAGCATCCGTTGGGCTGACGGAGCTGGTTTACTCCTGGTTTAGATTTAGTTGTCATTCTTACTTTCACCAGCTTTAGTCCTGATTTCTACTCTCACTGATGGACCTGGCGTGAACCCGGTATACATTAGCTTCCTCCTTAATTAGACCTGCTTTAGTCATTGTGTCCGTACTGGTTTTAACCAGTAAAGGGACTCGTACTTGGAAACTGGGTTTTTAATGATGTCTTTGATCCTTAGGATGTACCCCCAATGCTGAGCACTACTTTGGGATGCAGATTTTATCTTGTTTTACTCTGAATTCTGGGAATGCTTTATTTCTGCTTTCAGTCTTGGTTTTGTCTTGGTTTAATCCTTGTTTAGTCCCGATTACTACTTTCTCTCTTATGTAAAAGATTTTGGAGTTGGTTCAGATTTGACTTTATCCTGATTTACCTTTTTACTCCTGGTTTGGACCTGCATCAGTCCTAACTTAGTTCTGGTTCAGACCTGCTTTGGTCCCAGTTTACTTCTGGTTTAGTGCTGATACTTTTTGACATGTTTTTTAGGTGTGCTTTAGACCTGGTCTAGTCCTGGTTTGGATTGATTTAGGTCTGGTTAAAACCTGTCTTTGTCCTTCTTCCTTCTATTATTGCTTTTAACAGTGAAAAAATGATTTTTTTTTGTTTCAGACAGTCTAATACAGTCCTCCAAACATTCATGGTTCATTCACAACTCTCCTGCCCTGATTACAAAGGCGCTAGGTAAGGATCCATCCTCTTCATCTGCTTAATCAACCATTTGTACAGAATAACTGTTTATTTATATACATTTATAGACGATCTGAAGAGTGACCCTAACTCCACAAGGTCCCTGCTTCGCTTTTTCGGCCTCCTGGGAGGCTACCTCATAGCGACTACTGGACACCGTAAGGGTGTCCTGGTGAATATGCTGGTCACGGAGGTCCAGGAGGCCGAAAAAGTGTCCAAAGGGCGCAGGGTGATAAGGGTAAGTCTTTGTCTACAATGAAAGAACACTACATGACATGGTCACCAACTGAGTGTTGTTAACAGGTGAAGCAACATAAAACTCAGCGCTACTTTGGTGAAGCAGCGATACCCTGTAGTGTTGACGAGTACAAGTGGCTGGAAACGTATAATGGCATCAGGGGAGAAGTAGAAGGGGGCTCAGCCCGCACCTTTTTCCACACCTCCAGTGGACAGCCATTGTTAAAGCTGCCCAAGTATTTCCAAAATCAGTGGGAAAGGTGCGGGCTGGGCCCTGCACCCAACTTCAACATGCTCCGATCGTCTGTGGCAACTTATGTAAGAATTTTTGTACTGTATCTATATAATCTGTACTTTGTAATACCTTTTTTCCTGATTTAGACAGGTTTAGATCTTTTAAAATGTGTACTATTGCTATTAATTGCATAACTGTTTTAAATACACTCATATCTCTTCTACAGTCAAAGAGGCAGCTCGGGAGGAAGTGCTATGAGAGGGTCGCCACATTCATGTGCCACGACCCCGTAACGGCCAAAAAGTTTTACCAAGGTTATTCATAATGCAACTTAGCAAGAACCCTGGGGAGTCATGTATGAGTTTCATTTTACTGTTCTTTTTGCACAGCCTGTGATCCTGCAGAGGAAGCCTTCAATAGCAGGGCCTTGACAATAATGGCTGTCTCGTCCCATGCGGTAAAAAAAAAACAAAAAAAGATAGAAGCGTTACAAAAGAGAATCTCCAGAGACCACTCCTCGCCCAGGAACATCCCGGATGTCATCAGGGGGCGGCCTGATGTCACCCCGCCCTCTGATGTCACCCCGCCCTCTGATGTCACCCCGCCCCCGAAGAAGCGGGTCCAAAAACTCCAGCCACAACCGGAATGGACTCAGTCTTCAGACGATGAAGAAATACTCCCAAATATCAAAAGAGTTAGGGCAAAGAGGACTCCTCGCACTTGTTACAAGGAAACCTTGGTACTCTCATTGATACTTTTCATCAAAAAATACTGTGGTAGTAATGTTTCCATGTCATCTTTTTTTTAAGGACAATCACAATTCAGCAGAGTCGTCTGAAGACGGAGTCCCAACAATCAAAAGAAGGGTTATGGAAACTTCAGCAGAGTCATCCGACGAGTGGCAACCTCCCAAAAGGAAAATTGGCCACCAGTTATCGGTAAGAAGTGTCATCTATTCAATGTCAATCTATTGGGTTCCATCCATTTTGTTTTCCTCATTTGAGATGATGACTTTGTAACATAAACATGACTTGTGATGAATGTTCTTTTCTAAAGGACACTGACAGCTCAATAGAAGAGGTCATCCAAGAAGAGGTCATCCAAGAAGAGGTCATCCAAGAAGAGGTCATCCAAGAAGAGGTCATCCAAAAGAGGAGTCTGATTACCCCCTTCACAAATTTAATAAAAAAGGCTAAAAGAAAAGGCCAAGATATTGTGGTGAGAGATTACATCCAAAGTGATTACTATCTTCTTCAGTTTGAGGAAAAATAAGTTTTTCTTGTTTGAAACTATTGCAGAAGTTCTTAGAGGCAGAGGAAGATGTGCCGAGATCTTTATCAGATTTGGACGATGAGCAGATTTCTTTTTCCGACGATGACTGGGAGGCGGGGGCAGAAGGGCCTTCGTCATACAAGGTGAGAATGGAATTTATTTGTATTTCATGTAAAAAATATATAGTAAATGAGACATAGTTCTTCAGCTCAAAGACCAAAAGGAGGAGTTGATCAGAGAGGAGCCAGGACTAACTCCTCCTTTTGGTCATCTTTGGTCAACCCTAGCCTTACTACAACTTTGTTTCTTGCATTACAGGGGCAAGAATTGAAGGTCATTTTGAATGTCCCAAATTTAATTAAAAGACATGTGAGTCGACATTTATTCATCTTTCTTCAGCCGCTTTTCTCACTCTTTAGATTTCCACAGTGAAGTGACTTTTATCAAGAATGTGGGTTTTTGCTATTGTTTTAGAGCTGAAACTTGGGTTTAACAGAGGAAATAGCCCAGTGTCTTATAGCTAATGGTTTTTTGTTTGTATTTTTTCCAGAAAATGGAGGAAGAAACTACCCCACAAAAGGTGGCGGTTGAACTTCAAGGGGTAGGAGTGCTTTCCTTAAACGATTGGGATCATTCAGAGGCTAATTTCAAATTATCTGCTTTGACACATTTTTGCCTTTCATGCGTTTCACTACAAAAAAAAATCTTACTCCTAAAAGTTTAGGTTTTTTCTTTAGGGTTTCAGTAGACTGTTGACCGTTCTTTCCAGTGTATTTGACAACTCTTCTATTTTCCCCCTCAGATTCGGCAGGCCTTTGTGAGCCCAAACACGGCAAACATTTTGGGGAAAAACAAATGCCTAGACCGAAGGGTGTGCGTCAAAACCCTGAAATTTCACACAAAAAAGAGCGACATAAAGGGAATCCAGGAAGAGGGACTCTTTCCGGAGGAGGAGGAGGAAGAGGGACTCTGTCCGGAGGAGGAGGAGGAAGAGGGACTCCGTCCGGAGGAGGAGGAAGAGGGACTCCGTCCTCCTCCTCCTCCGGTCGAAAAGGGACTCCTTCCGGAGGAGGAGGAGGAAGAGGGACTCCGTCCGGACGAGGAGGAGGAAGAGGGACTCCGTCCGGAGGAGGAGGAGGAAGAGGGACTCCGTCCCTCCGCCTTCACACCTACTTTTAGGACGTGTCAAACGTCATACTGTGTTCTACTGAAACGTTTTGGTTTCATTTCATTCCGACCAATAGGAAGCCAAATACCTAACCGTTAGTGTGTTGGTCTCCAAATGTCAGAATCTGATTCGGGCTCTATTCAGACGAGTGTGTGGTGAATTTCAAGACAATCGGACAAAATCTGAGCCTTTGACGAGCCTATAAGTCCTGAAGATGGCGAATCTTTGAAGCCCCGCCTATCGAAAACCGTAGGTGCGGCCGGCACATAACACATATCCCCAGACTCGTCTTACGACCGTTGACAACATATCTCCAAATCAGGTGTCACAACTGTGTGGGAAAAAAATGGATTGGATTTTTTAAACTGGCAGGGAGGATGCTCTCAGGGATGTGGACCCATACTCCATTTTTTGGACTACATTTCAGACAGCCAATTAACTCCCCTGAGGGTCCGATCCAAAATCGAGCAATGGATATTGATAGAGGGCCCTCTGGACACTGTCTGTGCCGATTTAGGTGTCAGTAGGGTCAAAGATGGGGGCGTAATTGAGGAAAAGCAAATGGCAGATTTTATCGCTTCATTTTTGTCCTTATTCTTGTTATGCCGTTTTTCCACAGTGTCATTACAGTTCGGTGCGACTCTACTCGGCGCGCAAAAGCCGAGTTTGCTTGGTTTTCCATTGAAATAGCACCTCCTGGAATGTGGGCAGGCTTAGTCATACCACGGAAGTAGTGTTCATACCACAGTGTAGTGACGTCATTTGCGCGCGACGCACACACACACAAAAAGCGGGAAGAACAGCATACACCATCACAAACAATGGAGACCACCGGGACGTACCTTCTGTTCTTTCTGTGGCTTGTACTTATACACAAGATCAAGAGCCAGAGAAGAATCCAGGCGGCAAGACGCAATAGAATTGCGAAGTACAGGAAGCTTTTTGAAGCCGTGCAGCAGGACTATGGAGACGAGGATGGAGCCGAGGACGGCACAAGCAGTCTGTGCGCAAAACGAGCTGCAAAAAGACGTCTGCGGGTAAGTTACTTTTGCTTTGTAGCTATGTATGTAATGTAGCTTGGTAGCAGTCGTCGTGCACAGTAATTGCTGCTGGTTTTCACTATTAAGCATTAAACTGTATGCTGTATGTGTTTTTCAGATGGCTCTCGTCTTGCGTAGCCGCCGTAAGCCATCGGTCTGGGCATTCAACCGAGCCTCCGAGTGGTGGGACATTGTAGTCCCCAAATTCAGCAACGCGCAGTGGGTGCAGAATTTCCGAATGTCAGAAAAAACGTTGGATTTCCTGTGCCTGAAGCTGCGGCCGATTATGGAGCGACGAGACACTAGTTTCCGTGACTGTGTGCCCCTGAAGAAGAGGGTGGCTATCGCACTCTGGAAGCTTGCTACTGGCTCCGAGTACAGAAGCATTGGTCACCTTTTTGGAGTCAGCATAACAACGGTGTGCCGGTGTGTGCAGGACTTTTGTGCTGCAGCAAAGACGGTATCGGTCCCAGAGCTGATCCGGTGTCCTAACGAGGAGAAATTCAGAGAGATAGCTGCCTACAATGAGAACAGATGGGGGGTCCCACACTGTGTTGGTGCTATTGATGGATCACACATACCAATCAATGCACCACAGGAGTACCATTGTGACTACTTCAATCGTAAAGGGTGGCATTCTATCATACTCCAAGGTGTGGTTGATGGAAAGGGGTTGTTCTGGAATGTGTTTGCCGGTTTGCTAGGGAGTTTACATGACGGCAGGGTCTTAAGACTCTCTAGCCTGTGGGAGTTAGCCAGCCGGGGAAACCTCTTCCCAGCTCACACAAGAGACGTTGGTGGGGTGACTGCTCGCTATTACCTCCTAGGGGACTCTGCTTACCGCCTGCAGAACTGGCTCCTAAAACCTTTTCAGCACACCGGGCGACTGACAGTCGAACAGCAAGTATTTAACAGAAGATTCAGCAGAGCACGAGTGGTTGTTGAAAACGCTTTTGGCAGGCTCAAAGGAAGATGGCGCTCTCTTCTGAAAAGGTGTGACTCGGACATTGAGCTGGTTAAGTCAATGGTGCTGACTTGCTGTGCTCTGCACAATCTGTGCGAAACTAATGGAGAGACCTACGTGACGGAATGGGACACACGTGTGGCAACAGTTGAGCCTGTGGCACAGGATGCAAAGGGAGAGGGCGGAGATGTTAGGGACGGTCTGATGCATCCCTTTATGTCCAATGCCTAAACATTTAATGTTTCATTTGTGTCTTCTATGGTGTTTTTAAACCAAAAATAAAAGCTTGTTGTATTTTACTTGTCTCTACTTCTGTTCCAAAAATCACCACGGTTATAGGGATTTACTGACAAAAGTAAAATGTAAAATAGAGCTGGCTTCATACAACCTGTTCCAAACACCCCTCAACTTAAGGTTCATCACAACACACATGTCATCACAAACGTTAAGGGTATAAATGGTAAATGTATGTTATATATTGCTTTTAGGTTGTGTAGGGTATGAAAATTGTAGTGTAGTGCGGCTAGTCTCCAGATCAGAGTCTTGCCGTACTACACAAGTGGGATCTGAGTTTTATTTTGGGCACCAGCAGAGTTTGAAAACGTCTGCACAGATCCAACTAATCTGCCTCGATCAGTCTTACAATCTGATAGGTTATGAGTACGAAATCAGCCAGGGACGTCAACAGATTTAGAAACAGGACGCTTAAAGATGATTTGAGTTTAACGTGGGTTTATTGACTACATACGAAAATAGAAGAATATCAACGAAAAGGGTTTTGGTCACATTAACGGAGATGTTATGCATATCATATGAATCACACATTAGCGTGGAACAGTCTTACTTTGAGCAGGGATGGTGATGAGGAAAAGTGAAGGATGATGAGGATGAAGAATGGGAATGGAGTAGAGGTGAGGCCGGCAGTCCGCGTGTTCCTTTGTCCGAACAGAGAGGAACAAGAAAACCAACGACTCAAGTCCAGAACTTTAATTCCACACCCGCTTTCGCCTTTCTAGAATAGCGAAGCGGGAGGAGAGGTCCAGAGCCGGAAAAGTGGCTGATGATGGAGCAGTTCGTGGTCTCCGACAGCGGTATCGTGGGCTGTCCTCGCGGAGGTGGAGAGGGTTACACCTCCGCGAGGGTTACAGGCGCGGGTCGTAGTAGGAGACACGTACCCGCGGAAGTTGTCACAGTAATTTCAGGGTTTCCAAGAGGTCGTTCCTTTGCGCGGCTTGTGCTTTTGTATTATCCAAAAGGAGGCGCGTCCATGACGTCATCCCTGTGCGTCTCTCTGGACCGACATGTCACAAGGCAAAAACACATCACACAGACATTCATAATCAGATGCAGGATTAATACCAACATTCATAACACATGTACAGGCGCACAACGCATTTACATTACTGATAATGATACACACGTGTAGGGCACAGTACAGGTTATCAGAATAATGGCTTCACGAGTGATGGTTTAGAATGTCCGTCTCGGGTGTGATAGTGTTCAGTGTCCACTGGGGGGCGTCAGAACGCCGTTGGTGGCTCGCCAGCTGTCCCGGGGAGAGTGTGCTTGGAGTGAACGCAGGACTTTGATCTCTGAGCTCGTCGGGGGAAAGGGGCAGAGATGTTTACGCTCCTGAGTCGATTCATTGTTCCAAAACCGACAGTCGTTATCTCTATGACCGATGAGCGCTCTCTGTTCGACCTCTTTATGGCTTAGATGTCTGCTCTGGGAGGGACATTCCCAAAGTCTTATCGGAGCTGGTTAGTGTCCTGGCGGGGTCAGTTTCGGTCCATGCTCCGTGCATTGTGCTCTCTTTTGTCACCTTACATAACTTTTAAGTCGTGTTCGTTTTGTGTTGCTAATGTTTCATGGCACATAATGTTCCTATGTAGCTTGGTAGCAGTCGTCGTGCACAATAATAGCTGGTGGCTATCACTATAAAGTCTTAAAACGTGATGAACTGTCATGTAAATTATTGATTTCAGAACAAAAACTAAATAGGCTACTTCTGGCCTAAGGGCTATTTTCCATCTGTAATCCCTGGACTGTTGTGTATTCCTGAATGGAGAAAAAATTAAACAGATGAAACATAAGTCAAATATATTCAAACAATACCCTCAGTCAAAAAAACAAAACAGATATGAACATGGCGGGTACAAACGCAACAATAAAAAAAGGAACCAGGGGGCAGTGAGAGGCAAGGAGAATTTGCTGTGAGCCATTTTCTAACCTGTATGTTGAATGGGTTATATGTGTTTAATTGGGGGTGCAATTCCATTCATTGGCAGCTTTGACAGGAAATATGGGAAAGAACAAAACTAATCATGACCAAAATGCATTCAACTGCATTATAAGCTGTAAACATGTACCAGACTACTGGCTTAAATGCATGACTGCAGCTAGTATACACGAGTAGACACAGAAATTGAATTCCAATATATGAATATGTAGATGTGTGTACGTGTATATTTTCTGGAGAGATATAATCTGATTACATTCTTTTCCTGTGGAATGTTTACAAAAACATTCCAAATTAGTTAAGTTGTGATAATCTCTTTTTCAAGTTTAGTTGCAGTGTGGAGAATATCAAAAAAAGTCTTGGACGTAAAATATCAGTTTTTAAATGTGCAAAGCGGGCTGATTTGACCCAACTACAACTTGAAGGTTAAATATGTCCAGGGAAAACAGATGAAAAATAGCCTTCTTGCCAATTCTGGTACATTTACAGTAGTAATGGCAGTCCATTTAATAAAGGACTTTTATTTTTTCACTATAACAGAGTGCCTCAGACTTCTCTTTTCGATATTCTAAATCTGCTTCGATTGCCCCGTCATTTATGCCTTCTACTACTCGTACCCTCTGCAGCACTCACCTTCCTTGCTTTAAACGTTTACAGTAATGTTCATTTGTGTACACTGTCCCTGTCAAACGACTACATGGAAGTTGAAGTATGATAGGAATTCCTAGCTTTTATGCATGTGTACAGACGAATGAAACAGTCTTTATGAAATCACACATTTATTTACAAAGAAAACGAAAGTGCACACGCATCTATTTACAAAGGGCAGAGAGGTAAAGCCAGTTACAATGGGAAATGTCAATTCTTGCGGTCGGTCAGAGCTTGGACCATCTGGGCCATGAGAGTGAACAAGGCAGTAGTCTCTCCGCACGGCCAGCTCGAGGTCTCTGGCCTCTCGGGCCTCTGCAACGAGCACCTGGAGATGTGCATCACGCTGTGCCCGGTTCAGTGCATGCCTCTGCCCTGATTCAGCGCATCCCTTTCCCGTGCCAAGCGCATGCTCTGCCCGTTATCCGGTGCATGCTCAGCCCGTTCAGTGCATGCTCTTCCCGATCAGTGCATGCTCTTCCCCGACACCAGTGCATGGCTCTTCCGCGTTCCAGTGCATGCATCATAGCCACGTGTTCAGTGCATGCTGTGCTCCGTTAACCAAGCGCATCTCTTTTCCCGAAACATTTGCAGCTCTTCCCGATCCATGCATGCGCTTCCCCGATGCCAGTAATAATGTCACTGCATTGTGTTCACCATGCGCACTTGTATCTGCCCATACACTTCCATCTGTAATCTGCTCTCCGGTTTCATTCGCATAGCTCTGCCCAGTTCAGCGCATGTCTCTGCCCGTTCAGCGCATCTCTACCCGTTCCAGCGCATCTCGCTGACGGTTTCAGCTGCATCTCAAGCCCGTTCCCAGTCTCTGACTTCCGGTTACTCACATGGCAATATAAATTATTCTGATTATTTAGGGCTAAAAGAGTTATAGCTTCAGATCTGTGTATATCTGGTCTGAAGCATGTGTTGTACTCATGGTGTATTAGGGTGATTGCATTGGTAAAGTAATGTGGGAAAGCAGGGTACTTAAGTGTGCTTGTTTACCCCATGGCACTTGTGGTTAAGAGAAGGTAACGTGGACTGCAGGATTGAGAGTGGAAGCTAATAATTAAATATCCTTTTCACCTGCAGACTTTTCCACTGCGCTCAGTTTTAGTACTTTTCCCCTAGAGAGCTTTTAAGTAAAGATATGTCTAACGCCCTTTCCGACCCAGCCATGCTGCTTACCGGTGACCACGCGCTGCGTGTTGCTCGAGATCTCAGACTCCGCAGTAATCGAGGCCGCTGCCTGGGTGGAGGCCGCTGCCGGGGGATGCCGATGCCGCTGCCGGTGGTTCTCCAGGGATAGGGGATGGGGACCGTGGGGGCTCGTCTGTCATCTCCGTCGTGGGAAGGGATTCTAAAACAAACACACAACGGCTTAAGTACAAGCACAGTACAGAATGGGAATACGTGAAAGAGCAAGACACAGGCACTAGCACAGGAAGTTAGCTTTAGCTTGCTTGCTAGCTAAAAGTAGCTATCTCACTGTGTACAACAGGCCATCAAACAATTACATGAGAAAATACATTACAGTGAGACCTTACGTTATGTTCACGATTAGTAAAGACAAAAGTAACAAAACACTTACGATCCTCAATGGACAGAAGCAACGAGGAGGCCGAGTCCACACCACACTCCCGTCCATTGTTAGACGGCCTGTGACCGTAAATGGCGTCCATCTCAGCAAACCACCGCCAACTCCTTCTGTTTGCCCCACTTCGGCCATTGTGATCTTTAATGGCCCTGTAGTCACTCTTAAGCTTCTTCAACTTGTCCCTACACTGCTGCAGCGTGCGGGGATATCCACGTACGGCCATGAGCTCGGAGATCTCCTTGAAAACCTTGTGGTTTCGAGTGGTGCCGTCGAGCTCCTTCTGGATACTGTCCTCGGCCACGAGAGACAGTAAACATTGGACCTCGGCGACGGACCAAGGCGAAGATTTGGGGGTCTTTGCGGTTTCCATTGCTCTCACTACACAACACGTCTTGCTACAGCACAGGCGGGTTTAAAAATGGCGGGGTTGAGATTTGGTTATCACAGGGTTGGATGTCGCACTTATGACGCTCCAGTGACGACACTCGTTGACCAATCAGTGTAAGGCAGTGGTAGGGTAGCAGACGTGACGTCATGGCACGGGTACTGTGAGGATGGAACCACAGCTGAGGCAGTACGGAAAAGTACTCAAATCTCACATTCCATCCACTAGTGGAAAAGCAAAATAGGTGCGCCGTACCGTACCGAAATGAACTGAACCGACACTGTGGAAAAACGGCATTACATCATTTCAAATAGCCCAATATAGGAGAATATTATTGGTAGAGGATCCAACTTTGCCCTTGAAACTAATCTCTAAACCCCATCCTTCACAGCCACCAAATCTTTTCTAATCGACCCGACTCAAATCCCTTCTATTCTGTTATACTCTATTCTTATTCTATTTTTCCTCCTGCTACTTCTCCTCACCATCTCTCTCGCTCCTTTACGTTCTGTATTAGTGCAGTTCTTAATTTTACCACCAGATGGAGGCAAAGAGGGGCTGAGAGCACAGCAATTATGCACAGGTGTGTAAACATCCAAACAACACTATGAATGCAGACAAGAGCACAGCCACTATTAGTCTATTTCTGTTTTGGGGTGTTGACAATCAGAGCTGCCACCCAATTTGATCTGGTTTAAGGTATTTATCTAGTTTTTAATTTGTAAGACTTTAATTGATTTGTTTTCATTTGCTCAGGCCAACAGCATGAAAGCAAGCTCTTTGTGTGCGTACAAGCGTGTGTCTGTATGTGTGTATGTGTCTGTCTCTGTGTGTGCGTACGAGCAAGTGTTTGTCTGTGTGTATGTATGTGTGTGTGTCTATGTGTCTGTCTCTGTGTGTGTCTCTGGTCTCTCTCTGGTCTCTCTCTGGTCTCTCTCTCTGGTCTCTCTCTCTGGTCTCTGGTCTCTCTCTGGTCTCTCTCTCTGGTCTCTCTCTCTGGTCTCTGGTCTCTCTCTGGTCTCTCTCTGGTCTATCTCTCTGGTCTCTCTCTGGTCTCTCTCTGGTCTCTCTCTGGTCTCTCTCTCTGGTCTCTCTCTCTGGTCTCTGGTCTCTCTCTGGTCTCTCTCTCTCTGGTCTCTCTCTCTCTGGTCTCTCTCTCTGGTCTCTGGTCTCTCTCTGGTCTCTCTGGTCTCTCTCTCTGGTCTCTCTCTCTGGTCTCTCTCTCTGGTCTCTCTCTCTCTGGTCTCTCTGGTCTCTCTCTCTGGTCTCTCTCTGGTCTCTGGTCTCTCTCTGGTCTCTCTCTGGTCTCTCTCTGGTCTCTCTGGTCTCTGGTCTCTCTGGTCTCTGGTCTCTCTCTGGTCTCTCTCTCTGGTCTCTGGTCTCTCTCCTTTCAGGACATATACAGCCGTCACTGCCTCTCTGTCTGTAGCCGGGACGCACTAAAATGTTGGTATTTGGTCCCGGAGCAGGCTCCAAACCCAGCAGGACCTGGGTCTGAGTCTTCCTCTCTGCTGTAGAGCTGAGGAGGTGCTGAGGAGGTGCTGGGGAGTTGCTGGGGAGGTGCTGGGGAGGTGCTGGGGAGGTGCTGAGGAGGTGCTGAGGAGGTGCTGAGGAGGTGCTGGGGAGGTGCTGGGGAGGTGCTGGGGAGTTGCTGGGGAGGTGCTGAGGAGGTGCTGGGGAGGTGCTGAGGAGGTGCTGAAGGACAGAGGAGGCGGATCATACACGTCTTTATGAGTGTGTTATGTCACTGCTCTGTTTGTGAAGCAGTGGGAGGCTGCTGTTACATAACACAGGAGAGACCAGAGGGAGACCAGAGAGAGACCAGAGGGAGACCAGAGAGAGACCAGAGGGAGAGACCAGAGGGAGACCAGAGAGAGACCAGAGAGAGACCAGATTCAGATTCATTTAGAGGGATAATATTGAGACTTTTACTTTAATCTCAGATTGAGATAAATTTATTTGCCATTTGCAGTAAAACCACATTGGAATACTAATGCAAAAATCCCCAGTGTGCACCAGACAAGTACAGGAATAAAACAACGTTAAAAATACAGGAATAAATAAGCCTCGACCAGACAGGTTTTATCAAAAGGAGACAAACACAAGATAATATTCGCCGAACATTGTATATAATTGACCATGTGATAAAAAATCAGGATAAAATGTTGCTTTTAAGTCTTGACGCAGAAAAGGCGTTTGACCGTGTGAATTGGGAGTTCCTATACAAAGTTCTAGAAAAATTTAAATTCCACGAATCATTCATAGGAGTAATTAAAGCTATTTATTCGAGTCCAAAAGCAAGAATTAAAGTTAACGGTGCGCTTTCCAAAACATTCAATCTTGAGAGGGGTAATAAACAAGGTTGTCCAATAAGTCCCTTATGCTTCGCCATCTTTATTGAGGCACTGAGCCAAGGCCTCATCCATAATAAGCATGTCTCTGGAGTGACAATGTTTGGTCACGAACATAAAATCTCATTATTCGCTGACGATATTGTAATCTATCTGACAGATCCAGACTCCTCTTTTCCCAATCTTATTTCATATCTAGACTTGTTCGGTTCTGTATCTGGCTATAAGCTCAACATCCATAAAACACAATTACTTAGATTCAATTACAATCCCAGTCATTCCATAACCTCCAAAATCCAGATTGATTGGGACTCGGAATGTATAAAATATCTCGGAGTGAATATTCCAAAAGATCTATCTAAAATATTTGAGGTAAATTATAAACCCTTGATTGAAAAAATTCATAATGATATCAGAAGATGGGACCTGCTACCTATATTTAACTTTGAATCCCGGGTGGAGACAGTAAAAATGAACATTCTACCCAGACTGTTGTATTTTTTCCAAACACTCCCCATTCAAATTTCTAATGATCAATTCAACCATTGGGATAAGTTAATTTCTAAATTTATATGGCAAGGGAAAAGACCGAGACTAAGGTTAAAGACTCTTCAATTGCCAAAAGAGAGAGGAGGACTAGCCCTGCCCTATTTAAGGGATTATTACACTTCAGCCCAGTTTAGAGCCTGGTGCTGGTGCGATTCAGAATTCAAAGCCAGATGGAAAGAAATAGAAATGAGCTTCTCTGACAGTTGTCCACTCCCGGCCATACTGGGGGACAAAAGACTCATTAGGAAACAGATGCAGCTTGATAATCAATGGATAAATTTACCATTAAAGCTGTGGCTGAAATTGATTAAAAAACACAACTTTTTTGATCAGGTCAAAATACTAAGGTGGGCCCCTAATGACCCTGATTTTGTGCCGAGCAAACTGGATATGAGGTACAAAAGCTGGACTGGTCGAGGCTTGACTGCATATTGCACTTGAGGGATTTTAACTCTACTCAGAGACGTTATGAGTTGGAGAAAAATGACTTTTTCAGGTTCCTACAAATTTGTCATTACATTAATAATTTCTTGCCAAAGGATAAAAAAGTATTTCACACGCCAATCTTAAACATATTCATTAGGGCTTATCAGGGCGACTTGGGTTCTAAATTAATCTCTCAATTATATAAGGGCTTGCAGGCACTCTCCAAAATGAATACAGAATATATAAAACAAAAATGGGTGTTAAAGGCAAATACAGCTATGACGTGGGAAACCTGGTCTAAACACTGTTCAATGGAAAATCACGAGTGCAAATTCATGGAGATGCTTTGGCTGGAAGTGCTTGAGCAGGTTTTTTATAACACCAGCACAAAGTTCTCACTATTCAGGCTCGTCCAGTTGCTGGAGAAGTTGTGGTACAGAGGGGGCCGACCACCTGCATCTGTTTTGGTCGTGTTCATTAATCCAGAATTTTTGGAACAATATTCAATCTGAGATCCGAAAAATGTTGAAGTTGCAGTTTGCGTTAAACTGGGACGAACTGCTATTCGGCTGTCTTGACTCTGTGAATACGGACTTTGCTACAAAACGCCTATTTGGAATGTTAACTTTAGCAGCTCGTAAATCCATCACCAGAAAATGGCTTAAGCCAGAAGTTCCGACTATAGATGACTGGCACAATTTGGTGTATTCTATTTTTGTAATGGAAAGAATAACCTCATATTACAGGCTCCAAAATGCACAATTTGACAAAATATGGATAAAATGGAAGACGTACATTATACCCAAACGCCCGGAATTTGTATGATTCTGTATAAATCATTTGGAATACTTTATACACCCCTTTGCTATTTGTGTTTCTTTTTGTTTTATTTTTAATTTTCTGTCTATTTTTTGGTTTGTTTTTTTCTGGTTATCAAAAATATGTAAAAAAAAATGTAAACATTGTGTGAAGCAAAGTTTCTTGTAACAAATAACAATAAAAAAAGAATTACAAAAAAAAAAAAAATACAGGAATAAAAACAGTGTGAAATGGATGGACTAAAACAGCCTCAGCACAGACCTTTAAAGTGCTATGTGCTTCCTCATCCTCGTCATCCTCATGACGAAGGTGTCTGTTGTTATGTTATTCTGTTTTAAAGTCAAACACAGATGAAGTGAGACGTGTTTCCTCAGGAGTGAGCGCTGGAGACGAGATCCTGCAGCTGAACGGGAAAGACTCTCTGTGCCTGACCTTCTCCGACATGAAGACGGCGTTCTCCAAAGCCTCTCTGTCTCTGACCGTCAGCACACTGCCCCCTGTGGACCGGAGGCAGCTGTGCTTCCTGCCCCCACGCCGCTCTGGGGCTGAGGACGACCTGTACACAGACATCTTCTCCCAGAGCCAAGGTGAGCTCTAACTCAGCTCTAACTGAACTCTAACTCAACTCTAACTGAACTCTAACTAAGCTCTAACTGAACTCTAACTGAACTCTAACTCAACTCTAACTGAACTCTAACTAAACTCTAACTGAACTCTAACTGAACTCTAACTCAACTCTAACTGAACTCTAACTAAGCTCTAACTGAACTCTAGCTGAACTCTAACTGAACTCTAACTGAACTCTAACTGAACTCTAACTAAGCTCTAACTGAACTCTAACTGAACTCTAACTCAACTCTAACTGAACTCTAACTGAACTCTAACTAAGCTCTAACTGAACTCTAACTGAACTCTAACTAAGCTCTAACTGAACTCTAACTGAACTCTAACTAAGCTCTAACTGAACTCTAACTCAACTCTAACTGAACTCTAACTGAACTCTAACTAAGCTCTAACTGAACTCTAACTGAACTCTAACTAAGCTCTAACTGAACTCTAACTGAACTCTAACTAAGCTCTAACTGAACTCTAACTGAACTCTTACTGAACTCTAACTGAACTGTAACTAAGCTCTAACTGAACTCTAACTGAACTGTAACTAAGCTCTAACTGAACTCTAACTGAACTGTAACTAAGCTCTAACTGAACTCTAACGGGCGACAGTAGCTCAGTTGGTAGAGCATTGGCCTTAGAGCCTGAAGGTCGTGGGTTCGAGCCCACCGTAAGACCTACTTCACGACTCCCACTGATGTCTGCTGACGTTGTGTCCTTGGGCAAGACACTTAACCCCACTTTGCCCAAAGCCCCCACTGAAAGATCTCAGCTCCTGTGGACTCAGCACCTGCAGGAGGATCAGTGAGGGGCTGGTGCTCTGTGACTGGGTGCAGCTCTGACTGCCACCCCCCGACCCAGAAATGGATTAAGGGGAAGAAAATGGATGGATGGATGAACTCTAACTGACCTCTAACTGAACTCTAACTGAACTCTCACTAAGCTCTAACTGAACTATAACTGACCTCTTACTGAACTCTAACTGAGCCTTAACTGAGCTCTAACTGAACTCTAACTGAACTCTTACTGAACTCTAACTGAGCTTTAACTGAGCTCTAACTGAACTCTAACTGAACTCTAACTCAACTCTAACTGAGCTCTAACTAAGCTCTAACTGAACTCTAACTGAGCTTTAACTGAACTCTAACTAAGCTCCAACTCAACTCTAACTGAACTCTAACTGAGCTCTAACTGAACTTTAACTAAGCTCTAACTCAACTCTAACTGAACTCTAACTGAGCTCTAACTGAACTCTAACTGAACTCTAACTGAGCTCTAACTGAACTCTAACTGAACTCTAACTGAGCTCTTACTGAACTCTAACTGAGCTCTTACTGAACTCTAACTGAACTCTAACTGAGCTCTAACTGAACTCTAACTGAACTCTAACTGAACTCTCACTGAGCTCTAACTGAACTCTAACTGAGCTCTAACTGAGCTTTAACTGAACTCTTACTGAACTCTAACTGAGCCTTAACTGAGCTCTAACTGAACTCTAACTGAACTCTTACTGAACTCTAACTGAGCTTTAACTGAGCTCTAACTGAACTCTAACTGAACTCTAACTCAACTCTAACTGAGCTCTAACTAAGCTCTAACTGAACTCTAACTGAACTCTAACTGAACTCTCACTGAGCTCTAACTGAACTCTAACTGAGCTCTAACTGAGCTTTAACTGAACTCTTACTGAACTCTAACTGAGCCTTAACTGAGCTCTAACTGAACTCTAACTGAACTCTTACTGAACTCTAACTGAGCTTTAACTGAGCTCTAACTGAACTCTAACTGAACTCTAACTCAACTCTAACTGAGCTCTAACTAAGCTCTAACTGAACTCTAACTGAGCTTTAACTGAACTCTAACTAAGCTCCAACTCAACTCTAACTGAACTCTAACTGAGCTCTAACTGAACTTTAACTAAGCTCTAACTCAACTCTAACTGAACT